GCTACGTGCAAAATATGTGATTAAGAATCTATACTGAAGATGTAGATTTGCATTTTAACATGTTTAAATAACAAATTAACATAACTCAATACCTTCTTGTTAATTATTCTTTAAAAACATTATTTTTTTATACGCTTTTTATTTCTGTCGATGACACAATCTGTGCGAACCTGGTAGGAATCGTGATCACGTGACGAAAACAATCCCGTCTTTTGTCAGCACTGTATGCCAAGGGTTTATGAGGAGAGTAGCGTATCAGAAACCTTTGGCTAGCGAAGATGCAAAACTGTTATATTTGATTATCATGAATTTCCATTTTATAACTAGTCAACTGAAATTTATTAGTTCCCAGATTCTAACATTTGGAAAATCATTTCGATAAATTTAAGACCTTAGCATTTGTGTCTAATTTAGATAATGTTTATGGTACCATATTTGTATGCTTTGTATTTTATGAAATATGGAGATAACGAACAGCATTCAAGTTCAAACACGGATAAAATATCAGAGGTGGGATCAGGTGTCATGGAGGAGTGAGCATCCTCTGCCGACCGGTCACACCCGCCGTGTGCTCCTTTCATAGTCAGACAAGTGGCAAAATCCGTAGACATTTCAGTGTGTAAATAATGGCCGAATAATTAGTATTAGTATTCCCCCTGGAAAAAATTCCTGGATCCGCGCCTGATCTTCGACAGAATTCATAATAGATGTGAAGTTCTACCTCCAGTTGAAAGATCGGGGCTCCCTATATTTAGGACCTTTTGAAATGAATACTTTTAGGCCTTCATGGAAGTATTAGGCCCGTAGTAAGCAATTTGAGTTCGGGGGGCACAGCCATACATTTTCAGTTGAGGGGGCACTATTAACTACCAAAAATTCCTTGACAAGCAAAAAAAAAGGGCATCAGACGTTTTAATCGAAGGGGCACAAACAGATAGTATCTATGTTTTCTAAAGTACTCTATATATCGGCAAAACGGCCATGAGTATAGCAATAGCATTAGATTTTTCAGAAAATCTGTTGAGCTAAAATTATAAGTTATGAAAGTTTTTTTTTGCATATTGCAAAGTCATCTCTGCTAAAAATATAACTACAAATCGTTTCTGGGTTAAACTGAACAAGCACATATATAATACAACATGTATCTTCAATATTCTTCTTAGTACAAAATATTTCCCCAAACTTGATGAAGTTTCTTAATTTCTCCGATCGGGACACTACTGATTTATACCCTATTCGAAAATGATCTGGACGATTGAAGGAGAAACTAGGTTAAACATGCAACAGAAATACATGTATGTAGGACACTCAAGAATGAATGGTACTCTATTCCAAGGACTTTCTGTGAAAACCTGATTCATTGCATATGCTCAGTGGCATTAAGGTTTGGTTTGTTTTTTGTTGTTTAACGTCCCTCTCGAGAATTCTTCACTCAAATGGAGACGCCACCACTTGCCGGTGGAGAGCTGCAAATTTATACCTATATTCGGCACTCAGGGCCATTGAGCAGCGAGGGATCTTTTTCGTGCCAACACCTACTGCAACACGGGACCTCGGTTTATACGGTTTCATCCGAAGGACCGGTCTCCACGTCCCGCAGTGGGATTTGAACCCGCGACGTTAGGATCAGCCCCTTACTCCGCGACTTTATAGCAGACGCTCTAACCACTGCGCCACGCGGACGACAGTGGCATTAAAGATGTTATCCATACAAATAAGGATCAACTAAATACTTGCAAGTAAAATATCAAAACTGTTAAACAATTATGAATTTTGAAAGAATCAACTTATCTTTTGTTTGTTTCTTGCTTTAGAAGCCAACATGAATTTACAAAATGTGTATTCAAAGCATATCAGGTAAAACAATTTTAGCTGTAGATATAGAGAGTATTCCTCACTCAGTTGTTCTTTCACTTGTTTCAAGATTTTTTCAAGGACAGGGTAACGATAAACATTGATCAATCTCATAAATCCTGTACAAAATAGAGGAATCGGGAACAGGGAACAGCAAGGAACCTGGAAACACGAGGATCAGGTTCCTAGGATGAGTAAGCCTGATACCTGTCAATCGGTCACACCTACGTACCGTGAGCCCTACACCTACGTACCGTGACCCCTACACCTACGTACGGTGAGCCCTACACCTACGTACCGTGAGCCCTACACCTACGTACCGTGAACCCTACACCTACGTACCGTGAGCCCCACACCTACGTACCATGAGCCCTTTGTATTGATTAGGTAAAAGGAGTGATCCTTGGACAAAACAAGACTAATACCAATCGGTATGAAACATGTCAATCACAATGCTACACACAATAGGTTGTATATATATGCAAACAAGATCATTATATCGACCATAGAATTTTGTACGTTGAAAACCCTGTAACATCAACGCATTTGTAACTAGCCTGCCTTGCTTTAAAAATTGATTGTACTCAGAAAATTATTATTGGGCATCTAATCAGTTGGGAGACATACCGTAAACACAAAATGTAGGTGATATCAGAAGCATAGAGTACATGTACTGTAAATAGGGGACTTTGACGATGGAAAAGCTGAAGTCATCATGCATGTTTATCGTATACAGTTCCAAGTGTGTTAGTACGTCTGTAGTCAGTAAAACATCCAAATAAATGAAACACATGTGGCAGACTCTGAACACGGGTATGTTAAGGCTACACCCAGAGATATCCTACTTGCCTTTACAATATGACGTCATAGTAAGCTGTATGACGTGAACTTTAGAAATAATGATTTCTTAATATCTATATTTAAAGTTTAATTTCAGGTCAAAGAAATTAATGGAATCATTGAAAACATAATATAAACTAAATCTTGTCGTTTTTGGGTGGTATAAATAGCTAAGTATTAATTCCAAACCCATGACGTCATAACGATTGATCAAATATATTCAATAAGGAATTAAAGATTAAGAATCAGGTACGCTGATATATTCTTATCATGTTTTCTTATAATGAACACAGGCTGTACTTTGAATTCCCGATCAGCCTTTCCTTTGTCGTTCTATAAAAACAAAGGTGCAAAAGTTCAACACTACGCCGCATACTTTGAAACAAATTTTTTGTTTGTATCGAAAGCTTGTATTCTATTATAGTACTTGGAAAGTGCTGCTAGAATCGTGTGGTTAACATGAATTGATAACAATTCCTTGATCGTATGTATAAAATGTAAAAATTTTGGTAAGGTTTCATGTGAAACTTTGGAATATTTTTTTCTGTGTCGGGAAAGTAGGATTCTAGCAGCACTTTTCATGGCCCAGTGATGTTTTTACATAATTATTTTCAATAAAAGAAATGAATTAGCTCCGGGTAGTGTTGAACTTTTCATTTTTCATTAAGGCAATTTTTCTATTTATAGACGTCACGTGATGACGTCGTAGTGGAGTGCTTCTTTTAGCCTAAGACTCAATGACGTCTATACAAGGGATAATAATAGTAATATAGGATCTCCCATGATTTGTAGTTGGATATGATTTTTATCCAACGAGTTGTGTGTTTTTTTATCCCCGAGCCTTGGCGAGGGGATAAAAAAAACACACAACGAGTTGGATAAAAGTCATATCCAACTACAAATCATGGGAGATTCTTTTTATCCCATGTTTAATACTTCACAACCACAATGTTTTACACTGTTTTATATGTAAGACTCCACTTTGTTTTACTTCATCACGCTAACGCTAAAACCATTGTGACGTCACAACTGCATGCACTTAACTGTGGAATATGAAAAAATTATCCAATGAGTCATATCCACGGGATAAAGGGGTAAACATGGGATAAAATGTTTTATCTATGACTTTTCCGATTTATCAATGTTACATTTTACGAAAAAAGTCTAAATTCGCCGAAATATGATCTGGGTACTGCCTTAACATACCTCTTTTACTCGGAGTTCACTGGGACATCTGAATGAAAATAACTATTATTAATCATTAATAATAGAAACGTCGTCAGTATAATATTATCTAAATGTCAAATTGAAGGCCGCAGCAGTCTTCTTCCTTTCCTTAGAGGTTTCTGAATAAATTCTGATTTATAAGAATATTAAAAACAAAACAGGGGTCAGCTTACAAAGGAGCACAATATATACCCATGGCTATTTCAACAGATTCTTGGAAGACCTCGTCTCCAAAGGATACAAATACATGTATATTGGTAAAGAGGAACTCCAGCATCTCTTTTATATCAATCTTAGAGAATTTTGTAAAGAACAAGAATGATTTTTACTAAAGTAATTAGTGATCAATTATAAGATACGAAAATCATTGAGTTTTATTTTTTTATTGAAGAAACAATTGTCTACGATGTCTTAAGGTTCGAGGAGTGGTAGTATAAAATGTTGGAAAGTAATACGAGTTGATGTTATTGATTTTGGCAATAATTTGAGATTCTTTGGCTTAAAATCAGTAATAAACATACATGTATATCTGTAACCTTCCAAAAGAAATACTTCGAACACGGTCCCCAGAGGCCTCTATCTTTTGATTTCGTTCATTAGGCTCTCCTTTATTGTTTTTTTTATATCCTTCACACTATCCTTTGTTTGGCTACAGTGATGATAACCTATAGGTCATCTTCCCAAGAAAAACTAGATCTTTCTCACAACTTTATTTAATCATTGACTTTTGAATCAGTCTACTCATGACTGTATACACAGACCTGAATAGGTATTGGTTTAATCAGTGAGTTGAAGACGTTAAAGTATTCCTCAGGAGAGAGTAGACCAATCAGAGAGTGGACCATCCAGGGAGTGGACCAATCAGAGATTGGACCATCCAGGGAGTGGACCAATCAGAGAGTGGACCAACCAGGGAGTAGACCAATCAGAGTGGACCAACCAGAGAGCATCAAAATTCTTGAACATTTAACAGTATCTTCTGGTCTATTTTATCTACATGTACTGATGTCTCTGGTCTACTTCATCATGTTAATGGTACATGCAAACACCACATCCACAATGAAACCACTATGAAGCCATTCATTTGAAATATTTATTAAATAAAATATTCATTATTGTTCATTTTCAAGCTTGCGTTACACAAGAAATCTTATTATACTCATGAAAGCACAAGTCAAATATTCACACACAAGAACACACAATGAACACAAATGTCAATCTGCTAATGCAGGATAAAAAGTCATCAAAAAGCTATTCATTTATTCAAACTAAAACTCAGGAAAACTTAAATAATTTTTTTGGTTTCTCTAAAAGATAATATTTTTTAATTTCTTTTCTACCACAGAATCTTTTTTTTTCAAAAATAAGAAAATACACATAAGCAGCAATTAACATTTTGGCACATACAATTTATTGAACATGTTAGTCTTAAATAGATCAGGTTTCTTCTGGCTTAACCCTGATAGTGTCAAATCAAGGGGGGGGGGGGGATAAACAGCTGATACCTAGACATATCTTGATATAAAATAATAAAAGAAAATACATAGAAAATTATTCTTCAAAAATAAATGTCTTCAGATACACTTGTAAATAATTACAATGGTGTATTACACTTAAAGATACAGATCAACAATAATGTTTTCCCCGACTTTTTCCATCTTTAAAAAAGGTTGAGTATGGAAATGTTACACTGATGCATGTAAGTACAAGTAATTGTTTCTCATTTAGGGTCCCAAGTAATAGTGGGTAGCACTATGGTATGTATAAACCCAAAAGTGTGACTCAAAAGGAGCAAAGATTTTATAATTATACATATATCACTTATTAGAAGTACACAAAATATCAAATTGATTACTACATCTTACAAAGACTTTATATTTTGATTATCTTGTATGTTCATAGGTTGTCATTATTGTTGTTGTGGTACAGAAATGCTTACATCATGATCAATCATAAATGTTAAACCCTCTGTTTTATCATCTTCTCTCCCTTTATATGAATTTCATTTCATTTTTTTGGTCTAAATTTAGAGAACAATAATTGTCTTATACAAAATTAAAATATTTTCTGCAAAGAAGATGGGGGAAAAAAACCTACATCAAAATTTTCTTAAAAGTAGCAAAATTTCTTAAAAGTAGCAAAAACTTGGAAAGAACTACATCCTGTTAATGCCAATATCTGCCCCCATCCCCAAATCAAACTCTGATGGAGAAATCTTTATGTTGTAAACCAGGGAATATCTGAAGACTTCAAAGCATTAAATGTTTTCATCAACCATGACAGCATAAATTAGATTTGACTTCAAAAAAATGATGTTAATTCAAAATTTCAATGATTTTGAGAGAAAATAAGGTATTTTTTTAACGATGATATTGCAAAGGGAACTAAATCATTACAGATGAGTAATATGATAATATCAAGAAATATGTGAACATAATACCTGAGCAAGTTTGCACTCTGTAAATAGTATAGTCAAAATTCAACAGATTTTGTCTATTGTCCTCTTCCTTAAAAATAACAGAAAATCCAAATATTTTTTGTTGTCACAGCGACAAAAATTGACAATAATCTACTTCCAATCTACAATATTTTTGTTAATTCAGATTTTTTTTAATACAATATATAAAAATGTGCACATTTCAAAATTGTTTAAAATTTTGACTTTTATGGGGGCAGAAATATGCCTTTACTGAATATAGTTCTTTATTCCTCACTAACATGTACACACTATGTCGAAAGACATTACTGAGATTACAACTGTCAACATATCAGAGGGTATAAAAACTCATTCACAGCATCAGGCAACAGAGCTAAAGTTACAGAGCAGAGAGACCTATTGGTATGGACATAATGATAACACTATATAGAATGACATAGAATGACATTGACTGGAATGAATTACACGTATCAAATACAACAGGCTAAATCTCCCACCCATACCGTAAACACTCAGCTATAGAATATATCTGACACAACACGTATCAGATACAACAGGTTAAAATCTCCCTCCCATAAACACATGTCTATATTATATATCTGACACATATAACACAAAACAACACTCACTGAACACTGTTAAATATGTGTGATATATAAGTTGTCTCCCTTTGACTGATCTTGGCACCAGACATTTTTAAATTTGAGACTGGAAAAAATAGCATTCTCTGATTACAAATAATGTTGGTGTCATGTACAGCACCAATTACATAAACATACATATTTATATCATGCAAATAAAATTTCTTCATGATCAATTTCTTGAGGAATTGTTACCTGACTTTACATATATATATTTGCTTTAAACCATTTTTCCCCAGTCCAAATTCAAATTTCATCATAAGGGTTCTCCTCAGACAAATTGTACCAATGTGACGATTTATTTTCTGTTATTTTCAAATAATAACTGTAACATTTAAGTTTTTACAGAAAAAAAAACATAATAAGGCAAGAACCATTACAACACATAACAGTCATGTAAATATAATATTCATATAAACATGTGAAGACTTTTTTTTTTATCATGTACATTCATCACTGTATTGCATTGACTCTCTCTGTTGAAGCATTTTGCCTAATTTTAAATAAAAACACTTCCCGTAACAGTTTATTCTAAATACATTTAGCTCTCAGGCAGGAAATTATGTCCTTTGGTATTGCACTACAGTTTTTTTTTTAATATCTACAAATATTACATTATTTCCTGTTTATCATTATGTAACTCTATATGTGTCTATCTTGTTCCCTTGTTTATGAAATATACTCCATAATAAGTGATGTTTTATACAATGTGCTCTCCTTAACAAAGTAAACAGACTTAAGGGATCAACCCTGTGTTTTTATGAAGTATTTACAGGTCATGACAAAAAAATGCTTTGTATTTTATAGTTTCCCTGCTACTAAGGGAAATAACTCTATCTGTTTTCTTGAGAACAAAATCTCTACAGAGTTGAGAAATCTGTTTTCTGTCCTTGATGCAGATGAACATAGGACTACTGTCCTGGCATTGAGGATTTGACTCAATTTTTAGTGGGGGGCCCTTATCAGTAATACTCATCATAGCCGTCGGAATTTGGTGCCTGCACCATATTTTCGTTACGTCGACGCTGACTTCGCCTCACCGCATCTGCTCTTCTGTACGGTTCATTCTTCAAATCTGTAATGGACACCAGGATGGTCAATATTTTGAAATTTTCAGCACACTTTCAAAAGTGTGACCTACAGGACAATAAGTATTAATCTAGCATTATCTGCCTTAACCAGTAACATATACCTGATGACAAGTACAGTCAAACCTCGTTATCTCGAGCTCAAAGGGATCAAGAAAAAACTTTGAGATATCTGAGGGTTCGAGATATCCAGGGTAAAATACTTGAAGAATAAGGGGTTGGGACTTCAAAATCACTTTCACATATCCATGGTATTCGAGATATCAGTGTTCGAGATACAAGTTCAACTGTATTATTGTAGTATTATCTGCCTTACCCAGTAATATATACTTGACAATAAGTATTTATGTAGTATTATCTGTCTTACCCAGTAAAATATCCTCCAGTGCTCCATGATACACCTCGTCCTTCCCAAGAAGTTTCTTTTCTTTGATCTGTCGGTTTCTACTCTTTAATTCTGTGACCACAGCCTCCTGAAAGTGTAAATAGGTCAAATCAGTGTCAGTGCAAATAAGTCAAATCAGTGCAAATAGGTTAACAATTGAAATACCAATACACAGTATATAACTACTACAATGGCCAAGATAATTAATGTTTGATGTTATGAAGGGAAAATAAATTTTCAGCATCTGTTGTTTTCTGTTCCATAACCTTTCTAATATTCCTATGTTAATTCCCGTCAACACCAGCTACTTTTTCTCTTTTAAGGAGGGAGATTAGTTAAACAATGAATGGAATTTTAACATATATGGTTCCCATTGATGACTACTGAGACAAAGTCTACAAAGTTTCTAACATTTAAAATCTTAGATTTGGTGAGAAAAAAATTTAAAAAGTAAAACAAGAAGTTGTAGATATAAACTTCCTTAATATCTTAAGTGCCACATATCTGAGAGTTCCTTTACTTTTAAATGTACAACTTTACAACTTCCTAGCCTTATGAACATTGTACTCTCATGAATAAAAACTTTCGGTTTAAATCCCACTTTCTAAAACACTACAGTATACTTATAATGATATTGAATGTATTGAACTTGTACACAAATACAAATCTATAGGTAGTTCAGGGGAATAACTCTACATTTGAATAATACTTTCCAAAGGTATTTTAGGAATCTAATGAAACATGGATTTACACTGTTAATGGACCATTATTAGAAATCCTCACAGATGTCAAAATATAGTGTGGTTTCAAATGAAAATGATTACAAAAAATACTAATGGTATCAATATCTAACAAAATAAAAAGAAATAAAATTTCCAGTCTTTGGTTTGACAAATGAAGGATATGCATGTATCAAAATCTCCAGGTTTATATCTGACACTAAGGTCCTAAATTCTCCCATTTCACATCTTTAAGACAAGAAAATTTCCTGTGTAATGTCTGGAACACACACTAGGGATATGTCTGACTTATTATGAAAATCACCATCTCCAATCTTAAGTCCTTCACAGCACTATAAGTAAAACACCTTTCTTGAAACTCTGTTTTGTGAAATCGCCCCAACCTGATTTTTCAATGTGAACGAGAATTATAAATATTATATTATCCTAATCCCCTGGCTCAACCTTGCCAAGTACTGCAAGTACACAAAGCAGAACAGAGACAGGGAACCAGTCTAAGTATGCATAAACAATACTAGTCCCCTAATGACAAGGGTAATCTGGTTTCCCTTAAAACTTAAAAAGGTTGTACTTCCATCAAAATCATTGAAATGGAACAAAATACAAACTTGATCTGTTACACTCACATACCAAAAATCAGCTCAATGTCTGCAATCACAGTGCAAAAACCAAGTGGGACAGACTGACAGCTAGACAGACAGATGGACAAACAGACAGATCAGGAGGAAATTTATGTTCCCCACCAGTTTCATCAATAGGAGATTAATTAAACTGGGGTTTGACAGAATTTCAGTTCTAGGAATGATTATGAGAACTGCAGTGGACATTATTTATAACATTTAGAGAACTTCATTTTCATGACTAGTGGAATGGTTTAGAAGGAAGACATGTGCTGTGACATTTGATGCCTCCCAGAGAAACACATTGATACACGGAAGACACCAGGCAAAGTGATCCCACTGCTGTCAAGTGAAACAGGAAACAATAAATAATGTGGTATGTGTTGATTGAAATATTCTGGCACTACTGCATGCTTTAAAGCTGGTGACCTGATGTTTGTGAAAAAGATTCATTACAACATCAACAAGTGGTGCTTGTGAGGGAAAATATCCAAAGTTGACCCCAAAGGTCTGACCTTGACTTTATCTAGAGGTTATGACCTTCAAGTCACAAATTCTGAAGATAGAATATCAAGCATTTCCCATCAGTGAGTAAAATATATTGAAAACGAATGAGCAATCTTTACTCCTATGAACATTGTGCTACATGTAGTTACAGCTGTACTATGGTGATACCAAACATACATGTATGTTTCAAACACCATAATGCCAAATCTGACTAATAAATACAGCAATGAGCAGCCATATTGAAGCAAAACATAATCTCCATCAGAGGCTAAAAAATCAAAAAAAAAGAAAAAAAAAGAAAAAATATAAAAGCAAACAATTTGATACATATATAAAAAGCAAGTTATCACATCCAAACTAAGTACAACTGAATCACTGAAAATGAAAAACAAATTCTATTCTTGTTTATTTCAGCATTTTTTTCCCTTATATAACTGGTGCACACATGTACTTAGGTTACCAATCCTCATGTCAGGAAACATGGAAACAACCAAAAAATTTTTGAATATATCAGTTGAAAATAACTTGCTCTAGATATTTTTCTAAACATTCTGTGATATTAATTTAGGAATTTTGGTCTGAAAGTTTGGCTAAATTTAATAAAATAGACATTTTTTCTCTCCTCTCCTTGAATAAAGGGTTGCTAAAAATACATCTGATATCTAGCTATAATCAATTTTCCAATGAGTTACTTTGATAGAGTTTTTTTTCTCTAAGTTTTCAATTCGAAGACTTGAAGATTCAGCACACCCCTCAACAAATGCTAAGAATTACATCCCTGACCTAGCTAACATTTCTGAAATCAAATATTCCACTTACTGTAAACCAACTTTTATTCACATGTGAGAAATATTCGCGAGTTTCGTGACCTACTTTAACTCACGGATATCAATTGCTGTGAACCATTTATTCTGCTTTGTATTTGTAGAAAATGTTTCCTCAGTCGTGAAAATGAATCGTTGTGGATTGATTTCAAAATGACGAATTGCAAATAAAAGTTGACGTGAATAATATTTGGTTTACAGTATCATTTCCATTTACAACAAACATCAGGGGTATATGTAAATTCAAATTTTTGAGACTTTTGACCTAAAACAAGTCCATGAAATTCAAGGTTCATTGCGACTAAGTCCTATACACTTGAGGTTTGCTACACAGTTAAGTGCACTCAATAAAGTGTGAAAAGATGTGAATTAATTCTTAAGTGGTTGAAAGACAAAAAAAAGATAATAAAACTTGGGGGAGAGAAATTTTGTCACAGTGTACTAATCACAACAACCAGATGATACTGTACCTTTTCTTCATAAACATATTTCTGAAAATTTTAATTTCCTTTCATGTAAGTAAAAATGTTTATTTATTAATTGTGGACATTCTTATACATCAGGTGTTTTTCATTCATATTTCAAAAGCAACCTTTTTCAATGATTTTGGATAGAATTGTAATGAACAGATAGCTAATTTTGAGGGAAAAAAATTCCTAAATTTCCTATGACAACTCCCTATTAGCTGTGATTTAGTCATGAAAAACACTGACATTGTTTATCAACATATCCTCTCTGTAATGCCCTCTATGTTAGCTGATTTATATATATATTTTTTATCTGCACAATGTATAAGCAGTAACTACACATCATGCTTAACAACAGAGTGGTTCCCAGATACTTTACCTTCTCTTCAAAAATAATTCTCTGAAAATTATTTCATGAATGAAAAATTTCTTCTCATGTCTCTCTCAGTATCAAACTCCAAAATATGGCTTATGCCATAAATTTGTGTTTTATTATTAAAATATTTAAAGAAATCTGGAATAAACTTTTATGTAAAAAAAAGAGAGACCCATGGGCCACAATGCTCTCTTGAGTGAGTAGTTCTTAACAAATCAAAGTTTAAATGACATACATTATAGATAAAACCTATTATTGTTATACCCCCAGTTTGAGTCCATGATTTGTTGAACTTTAATTTTCAGAATATTTAGGTTTGATATCAACTTCACAAATTGTAGCTTTTTTAATTCCTGTAGATGTTAATACAATTCTTTTGTTTCCTTACTGTGTGATCCCAACCCCATTGCTGGGCTAAGACATGAAGAAATTTTACAACACTGCTTAGCAAATACAAAGATACTAAAGTGAATGATGAAAAATCAATAAAATAAATCTTAGCAAATAATACATTTAAAGAATGCCCTTCAAAAAGTAGACTGAACAATGACTCTCTACACAAGGTGATAACACGAAAATTAAAATGCTGTTAAATTTTCCTTAGTTATTCTTCCGGAATGGCAACTCTAAACATAATGTATCATTTTAGTTCCTTTAGCATCCATCGAAGTACAACAAACAACTCATCCTTTGGGCTTGTACTATTCGGGTAGCAAAAACCTTCAACTGATCTTAAGATCAGCAATAATTGTCTAAAATTTACTTTACAAACTGTTTATCATCTAGAAGGATTAATGATGTTAGCTCTGTGTAATAAACTTAATTTTCACTTAAACTTTACTTGAAATTTACTTCAATTTCATTTTCATTTCCTTAAAATGGTCTCTGTTACAAATAAATAACATTATAATCAGCGGAGAGTCTTTGCTGTCATTTCAAATAAAGGATTAAAACAAAAGGAAAGACTGATGATCTCTGTATGACAGCCTGAGAATTCCTGCTGAAATGGAGTACACACCTGGGCATTCTTTTTGAAATCTTTCTTTTTATTCTTGATCTGTTCCTGTTCCTCTTCCATCTGTGCATATTCTAATTTCTTCCTCTTCTCCAGTTCCGCAACAGCAGCCTAATCAAAATTTAATAAAATCTCAAACCTCTAAGCTCTGATGTTTGTTTACAGTTTTATTTTGAGGGATTTTTAAAAGTGAGATTAAAGATTCAGCAAGTAGCTAATGTGTTTTTAGAAATCTTTGGCACGTTAAAGATAAGTAGTTGTGTACTCTGTTATTTACAATATCCAGTTCTTACTTTAAATGCGCCGACAAATCTGACAAACTGCGAGAAGAAAGACGTAGGAGAACAGGTGCGTGGGTTCTCTCCGAAAAACTCCACCACTCTCTTGTAAGCATCCTGGAATTAAAACAGTGGGGTCAAACACAATGTTATATTGTTCACATCATACATGATCCAACTTTATCACAAAAACTGGTCCTCACAGCAAATACTTTGAGAAACTTGTGGACATACCAGATTTATTGCCATACTAACCATAATAACTCTCTGCAATTGATCTGCATTTAATTATTCACCTTATTTTTTTTTTTTTTTTTTTTTTTGTAGTTATATTCAAAAATTAACATTATGAAGCCTGTTTCAGTTGTATTATATTACTGAGTTGGCATTAATAAATAAACTCACAATACTGAATAATGTCCGGAATATTCCACAAGTAGAGAATTTTAAATTCATTTTTAAATATGTCTAAAGGAAAATAAATTTTTGATAAGCTTATTTCACAATTTTATCAGACTAACCTATGCCATTTTAATGTCAGCCTGTAGTTTTTTTAGCCTGTCTTCTGAGTTTGCTTTTATTTTTAGAATAAAGAGACTCACCTCTGCTGTTTTGATGTCAGCCTGTAGTTTTTTAAGCCTGTCTTCTGAGTTTGTGAGGAACTCTTTAAGGATAGGAGGGGCGTCTCGACTGTGTTTCCTGGCCTCATACTCTTTCTGGGTCATCTGCATACCTTTCTCCAATTCTTTGTAATCAGTAATTATGTTCTCCATGGACACTAAAAGTAGTCAATCTCATTTGTAAAAGACAACTGGAATATGGCTTATATCATAAATAACTTTCACTTTCAGCTAGTCTCTTTTGTCGTTTAAACATATTCAGAATTTCTAATGGTATATTCTTCTTCAAGATAAAACGAAAATAAATGTTGCACAATTTTTCCTTCATAATATTGAAAAATATTGTAAATTATTCTTTATTCACTAGAACTTATTTTCAAAACATATATTATCTAATCAAGAAAATAAAGTTTTCATGGAAAATGCAAAAAAAAAAAAAAACAACCCCTCATTAACTATCATATGGAAGATCCATAAACTTTTTTATATCTGCTAATAAATTAATTACCCATACTCAAGACAACATAAACTCACCAACTGCAGCTTTTTCTATAAAACGGAGCTCCGAGTCAAAATTTAAAATCTCGGGGAATTTGGTCTGAACTGTCTGTACCAGGAAGTGCATCAATGAGAATGTCTTGTCTTTGGTCTTGGTGTCCATCAGCTAAAAAGATTCCAAATACATGAATGCACTATCATTTTGTATGAAATACAATACAAGGGTTCACACAATATCTAAATCAAAGTACAAATGTAATTCTATAAACTTATCAGTGCATGACATTTAGTGTTATGTAACTAAAATGCATTTTTTAAAAAAGAAAACATACATTTATTACATGTAGTATTAAGGATATTGACTCCAGTCTTATTTTTATTCCTGTATTATCTCCCCTTAACAAGGGTACAAAACTCACCATATCTAGACTTTGAAGTTTAAAGCCATACACTGCCCCCCTCTTGGCACTGTTCATGTAATTCCCTATAGCTAAAATTATCTACAATGTAAAATAAATTAATGTATGTCAACTTTACATTGTTTTCCAATCAAAAATATATTTGTAGGGGTCAATGTTTGAGGACAATCATAATTTCACAGATGATTCAATTAACCATGCTGACAGAGTTATGGTTTGAATAGATATTCATTGGCTAGGGTGACCTACAAAATGCATGAAAATGTTGGTTCCACATAACAATTAGGGTTCATCATGTTCATTATCAAACTGTTCAACATATTTTTTAATAAAGAAATAAAGATTTTGTTTGAATGCTAGTGAGATTCCAATAGAAAGCAAATTATTAAAATGCACACAATATCACGGTAACCATAACTTTCAGGACAAAATTTGACAGATATAGCTTTCTAACTTGATAGTTTTATAAGAAATAATAGTTCTGTATCCCAGTGAGCGTTATCTCTCTTTACAGAGGGTCAGTGAACCTTAAGTTCGGTCCAGTCTTACCTCTAACATTTTCCTGACTTTTGTGGAACTTCTTAATGACATGGAAGCAGCAATGATTGCATTGACTTGCTGGAGGAGAAAAGAATAAACTACTGATTTATGTCTGATTAAGCAACTTTTTCAGGAAAGAAACCTTTATTCATATGTTAATAATTAGTGTGTACATGTATGGAATTATCCCTAAGAATAGGTGTAGCATAATATTTTGATACCGCGATATATTGAACCCGGGTTCAATATATCGCATAATATTTTGAACCCCGGTTCACTTTTTCGCTGTGATATAATGAACCCCTTTTTAAAATACCCCACCTATAATGATGTAACCCCTGGTTATTTTGGTATTCCTCCAAAACTCCCCATTAGGGCAGGAACCCCAGATCCCTTTCTACATTTTTAATGTCCCCTTCTGTTTCAATTCTTACGGACAACCCTGGGAAGGTCTGTTTAATGACACTTTGAATAAGTTACATTTAATTCTTCCTAATCCTTGTATAATCTCCCAGAATCTACTTACTGGTGCTAAATGATGAACATTTTCATTGAAATTTCCAATGAAACTCATGATGTGTAATTTTTGTGACAATCTCTCTATCTTTGACAACTGAAATGAACAAGAATAAGTCTTCATAAAATGTGAAATAATGTAGGCATTTACAATAATTCATATCATAAATTCACTGAGGCAAGAAAATGAAAAAAATTCCAAACTTTATGATAGAGTAAAACTTTTGTTCATGCAAATTCAATATATGTATATGGTTTTTAGAGCCTGAATTATTTTTTACAAAAGCACAAACTGTACTCTTTTATGCTTCAGATGGTCTTGACAGTTAAACAAACCTGTAACATGAACCTATCCTCGTCAGACAATCTGTCTAATGGTCGTCTATCTTTTTCATATTGTTTGTAGGCCTTCATCTGCAAGAATATCACTGTCAGTTTTATTCTTCAATCAAATACACAATACTTTTGGTTAAAAGCAGATTTGGATGTATTCAAAATAAATTATGATACTTTATGTTAAAAGCAGTTTTGGACATATTCAAAATAAATTATGATGTAAAAAATTATGAATGTTGTTAAATGCAGAAAACTTTTCCTAAGTAATTAAATTTTGGCATTTTTGTTTTTTAGTTCTTCAATTAAACAAAAGAATGACATTAAACAGAAGAATAAAATTCATTTAAAATGAAAAAAAAAATCAAACACGGTTTCAGAATGAATAATATTCTAAATATATTCTTAAGTTTTGTTGTTCATTTTTTCCCCCTAATTTCTTGAAAAATACCTCAGCATCATTTGGAAGAATGGTCAGGAGAATGTCAGCCATGTCTAAGGACAGAGTCTTCAGGTCAATGCTGCAGCAAAAAAAAATCATAGCTGAGATAACAATTAAAACTGAACATGAAAAAAAACCCAGTCTAACCTCGTTATCTCAAACTCAATGGGACTAACAAAAAATTTGAGGAATCCGAGGATTCAAGATATCAGGGGTAAAATACTTAAAGAATAAGGGGTTGGGACTACCAAATCACTCCGACTATCCATGGTATTTGAGATATCATTGTTTGAGATACCGAAGTACAACTGTACTAAAGAAGAAATTTAACTTCTGCAAAACTTACGCATTAATGGCTCGACACACTTCTTCATTTCGGAGTTCTAATTTCCTCCTGGTGATTGCTTTAATAATGAAAAATAAATTTTATTAATGATGAAAGAAAAAACAAAAAACATTTACCTTTACCAAATAGACATCTTTTAACAAATATTAGTATATGGTTAAGTCTTAACCTGTTCTTCATGCACATAAGCATGTTCTTGCATTTTTTTAAATCTATGTCCTTGAATTTGTTTGTTACATAATTATCAATTTCATAATACCATTTTTATACTAAGCATGTAATAAAATAACACTGCTAAGATAAACAGCAGTACTGGTTCTTCCCTCTTATAGTAATCATATAAATCCCTCACTCACCCACATTCCTGAGCCTCACTCACCCACAGTCCTGAGCCTCACTCACTCACATTCCTGAGCCTCTTAAACCCCTCACTCACCCACTTTCCTGAGCCTCACTCACCCACAGTCCTGAGCCTATTAAACCCTCACTCACTCACATTCCTGAGTCTATTAAACCCCCTCATTCACCCACATTTCTGAGACTATTAAACCCCCTCACTCACCTACATTCCTGAGCCTATCAAACCCCTCACTCACCCACATTCTTGAGCCTATTATACCCCTCACTCACTCACATTCCTGGGCCTATTTTACCCCTCACTCACCCACATTCCTGAGCCTGTTGGGTTCCATGAGACTGATGCTCTCTGCTTTCTTCTTTCTCATTGTCTCCCCTCTAACATCCTCAGCTCCAATTAACCCTGCACCAAGTTTGAATGTTTCCTCAAATTCCACAAAGTCTATCACATTGAGAAGTTTGTCATCATCTAAGTCTGAGAACACTGTACCCTTGACTTGCTGAGGTTTAAGTGGAGTCCAGTTTAACATTGGAAGTCTATATTTTGTCTGTATCTTCCGTTTAATTGTCATAGCACCTGGTCCTGCAGGCGGGGGAGGTGCCCCTGGTGCTCCAGGGGGAGGGGGTGGTGGGGGTGGCATTCCTGGTGCCGGAGGGGGTGGGGGTGGAGGTGGAGCCGCCACAGGAGGTGGTGGTGGGGGTGGGGGAGGAGGAAGTTCATCTACAATTGTGGAGACTGTACCTATAAAAACATGTATTGGGAAAATAATTCATAATTTTATTTTCAATGGTGCATTGAAACATTGAAGGCAGAAAGTACAAAATTTTCCTACTTTAAAAAAGTTAACAAAGCACATCAGTTCTGTTAAATTAAAAAAAAGAACACCTTGGAATATTTGTTAACAATGCTGTCTATCTGCAGACTTTTTTTCTACACAGTTTCACACATCAGTTAGCAAAAAAAAAAGAAGTTTTTTATTAGGTATAAATTGCACAATTTGAAAACCTCAAGTTTTTCTCCATATATGATACTGTGAGAGTACATTCCAACTTCCTAAACTTGATAAATTATTGGTGCTATTGGAAGTAAAAGTAAGCATTTAATTCCTTTACTTCAATAAAATAGTTTCAATATCAAAGCTAATTTTTCAGTATTTACCCGAGGTAGTCAGGTTGCTTCTCATGGTTTCGATTTCGCGGAGCTTGGCTTCGTACATACTCAGTCGTTTGGCCGATTCCTCATCTTTCTCTGTTATCATTTGCCTTAAGGTGTTTAATTCTTTATCTTGTTGGCCCAGATAATCCTGTAGAGAAAAGTCAGTCTTTTATGTGCATTGCTTAATATATGACTTATCATTGATAACTTTATATCACAATTGTAAGCTCTGGGCAAAATGACAATTTCAGAATTCAAATCTTTTGATTGTAGGGATTTAGTTCAATTGATATTTTTTTCTTTACAAGGATCCCAACAAATTTTAGATATTAACTGAAGATCACTATAAAGAATAAAACCTCTACAAGTCCAACTTTAAAAAAGACGAATTCATGTCATGATTTAATGAAATACAGACTTATACACCAATTTAAAAAAACATAACTATTCCAATCATTGAACACAAGTCTTATTGGTTCTAAATACAAACCTCTAATTCCTCAATTTTCTGTGTGGCATCAGATAATTGCTTTTCTAACTCCACTACAAAACAAAACAGAATATTCAATGTATATTGTTGGGAAATTATTGAAATTTTTTAATCAATCTCAATTTTAAATGTCAAACCACCAGAAGTAGGTGGGAAAATGATTAAGCATAGTTCATGTGAATTGGTGAAGCCTAAAGTTTTCTCCAAAATCTAACTAAAACTGTTCAAATTGGACAAATACCCCCACTGGGTTTCTCAGAATAGGTGCCAAGTCATTATACATATTTTATGGATCTAAGAGGTGTTCACATTTGTTTAAACTTTTAGAATGAATTTTTTTTTTGCTCATTATATGAAGGCGCAGCCTAATAAAACACCAATACTTAGTTTAAATAATTATATTGTATTTTATTAGATTGAAAAAATAAATTGCAACACTGTCATCTTTGTGATACATGACACTCTGCAATTTGTTTGTTGAAAAAAAAATCATTTATACTATATATCAAATTAATCTTGATAACTTTACATTAAATTTATTTTAAACATAAAAGGCTGGTCATCCAGTAACTATATATTTTAATTTGACAGACTATAATTAATAAATTACAAATAAGAGAGTTAGAGAACAGGGATCTTTAATTCTTCTGCCCAATTCCCAGGAGAAGATATAGATAACACCTGTTAGTTCAGAGATGCTCTAGCAGCTTCCCACATTGAACTCATCAATTAATCTTTAACTGGATGCATGTTTACTCATTACTCCCAAGGGACAAATGGATTTACATTATCTGCTGTGTAATGCAGCTTGAGTCTAAGTACAATAGGAAATGACATTTATTTATTTCATTCTGCTCAAAACAAAGATTTTTTTTTTTTTAAATTTGTTCCAAAACTTTATATAATGATTAAAAAAAACTTGATGCAACATTTTTTTTAAATAAGGTTACTGCATGACTCTTAGATTTATAGAGACTATTTACCGAAAACTTTTTTTAATACTTGGTGATTTTTTTGAGCTTTAATGAGTAGTTTTTAGCTGCAATTTACATTTGTTACAAGATGTACCAACTGGCAGTTCTAGATTCTATGTATCAAACCTACGTGAACCAAAAATGAGTAAGTCAATATAAATGAAGAAACACCTGTAAAATGCAGAAAAAATATCCAATCATTATGAAAATACCAGGTGCACACCTTCATATGGTGAATAATGAGTGTACAAATTTTCAGACAAATCCATGCAACAGTCTCGGAGAACAGGTCTGGACAAAATCCCATCTACAGACAGACGGACAGACAGACATGCTGATTCCAATACACCCCCCAAACTTTGTTTGTGGGGGGTATAATAAATGATACATTTACACATTTTTTAACAACCAGATTCTTCACTCAACATATGAAAGATTTACATAATCAATTAATTTTACAATGTCTGGCTTAGATAAATTACGTGATTTCAACATATCCAGGGTAGATAACTTATATGATTTCTACAATGTGCAAGTAAAATAACTTACATGATTTCTACGTGTCGGGGTAGACAACTTATGAGATTTCTACATGTCAGGGTAGATAACTTGCATGATTCCTACATGTCAGAGTAGACAACTTACGTGATTTCTACATGTCAGGGGTAGATAACTTACATGATTTTGCCATAGATTCTTCCTCCATTTCTTGAAGATGTTCCCGCTCCTAAAAGATAATTAACAGACAGAGAAAATTATAAATAATCAAAAGTAACAAATTCTTTATTAAAAAATTTAAAGTAAGAAAAATTAACAAAAAACATTAAAAGTAAGAAATATTAACAAAAAAAATTAAAATAAGAAATATTCATAAGTACACTAGTCTTTTTTCACATTTTAAAAGTTTACTTTGTTTTGAAACATAACATGACCAATACAAACTGAATTAAATGTATCTAATTCAGTAAAAATAGTTCATCTACTGTGACAAAGAGCATGCAATGCTGAGTTTATTCTGACTTTTATACAGGAAAAAACTATTTGAAAAATTGAAAAAAAAAACATTATTAAATGAACAATTATAATTATTAGCATGAGATTATATTAACATGTTTATAAGGAACAACTTGGCTAGAAAAATTGGAATACAAAAATATAGCATTATCCATAAATACTGAATACTTATGTTGATTTTGTGTTCTCTTTTAAAATGTTCATGTACATTAGAATATAAAATAATTAAACCTGTTTTTACAAAATCACACTGACTGTTTAAACTAAAAATATATACTATATGATGTAATACAATATAGAAAACAATAATTATAACATTATATTCTTTTTATGATGGAATAATAATATCTTATATCACTGATTTATAATTACCGGACCATCCCAACCATAAGTCTGTATTAACCATAACATAAACGAATTAAATCAATCTCACTTTTTCCACTTGAGAAAATAATTTATATTTGAGGGTGTGAACACCACTGTTTTGTTTTTTAACTTCAATAGTTAAGTAGCATGTTGAATATTTATTCTTTTACACAAGATCAGGCTTCAGGTCATTACACTTAGATGAGCTCACTTTTGATCTCAGTCTCACTTTTCCACTATAATATCCTTTTGTTAAAGTGAGACTGAGATCAAAAAAGAGCTTGTCTATGTTTCATTGGCCCAGATCAACCCCTGTCTATATAAGGATGGATGTGTTACAAGTAGGTAGGAGTTCATCAATCATCACTAATAATGGAACTTAAGAAATTCAGAACGAGAATGCTAGATCAAATTTTTCTTCAAAGAATGTATTCAGGATGGACATGGATAAAATAATGTAAAATTTGAGATGATTGGCTGCTCAACTTTTAACTTCCGCCAATGAGGAGGCATGACATATTCAGTACAATACCTACCCGAGAAAGTTCCTCCTCGAGATCCTCTGCTCGCTCAATGGCCTCCGTTTTGAGTTCTGAGTCCTCCAGGAGCTGAGCAACCTCAATCATATTGTCAACATAAGCATGAACCTGGACCGAAAGTCTGTCGCTCTCTGTATGTCGGAGTTTCTGTAACAACCCCACAAACATTAAACAAATCCATACTGATTAAACCTACACAAAAACATATGTATATTAACAGAACATGAAAGTTTATATGCATGAAAGATTGTAAAGTAAAGAAAATTTCACTAAACTAACTTTTCTCCTCATCTACTTTCCTTTTTGAATTCTTATATATGTCAACGACTAGTATAAAGCAATACAATTTTTTTTAGATCACAATTTATTAATACAGTGTAAACTATTTTCCACCCTAGGAAACTCTTTTTAACATGTCTGGATTGATTTTCTGTAGGATTTCTATGTCCTTTTTTTGTCTTTGATTTTAAGGTATGGAAAAAGACACCTTTTTCAACTAAAATGACATTCCCATCCTTATGAAACTTTTTTATCAAAGTTAATATTTGTCATACAATGTAAATGGGATAAAAGGTTAGAGTTATTTACATCTGTACATGTGTGCGTGTTCCTCTGATTCTATACATGAATTTTATGAAATTTAATTAACGATTGCATAATTAGTTTAAATAATATGTGAATGTACTGTATTATAAACTGAGAAAATAAAGAACTTACATTTAAATAATCATCTAATCCAATCTGAGTGAATTCATATTGTAAATGTACACGAAAATTCATATTTTCCACCGAATGCACCACAATATTTACAAACTGCATACAAGCAACCTGTGAAAAAAAGAGAGAGAACTTGAGGTAAACATTAAGAAATACTGTTTGTCATTTAGTCTAACATGAGAAATCTCTTTGAGTAAACAAAAAAATTTAATATGTGTATGTCAATAGCACATAATTTTCAACAAACACAGGTATACATACCATAAAATCTATATGGAATTCTTCATAATTGCGAAAGTAATCCATTAATGTTTCAAACCGATGCCTTTCCCCACAAACCTACAGGTCAAATAAAAACAGTTAGGACATTTCCCTTAAAAATTACACACTGCACTACTATTTCTATATTTTGATTTCATAATTTTCTTTCCAATTATGCCTAAATTTTGCTGCTATTAAAACTTAAGAACATTTACTTCTTTAAAATTGTCGAAGGCTGAGAGGATGATTTCGTGTCCCCCACTGACTAGACAGACAGCAGCTAACAGTTCCAGCACCAAGGCCTTTGTCCTACAACAGAAAATAAAAAAAATGTAACATTTCAATGACTGCATTCAGAAAATGTTACACAGAGGTTACTTGCAGTCCTAACGCACAGAATAGAACAATTATATAAATTTGCATATCTGTAAGCCAACCATTTTTCACCACTTTTATTTGATATCATCAATTTTCATGACTGCAGAAACATTCTACATAAATAAGTAATTAATTAAATAAGGCAAGACACAGATATACACATTACTGAAAAGATGAGTTTTCATCAACTTGAAAAAAGTAGCTTCAACTAAAATGGACTAAATGCTATACAACTCATGTAAGACTAAGGTGATTCAGTTGTAGTGCTACAGAACTCACCCGAGATTGTATTGACTGAGGCTTAGCAGTTCAACATTCACCTGAGACTTCACAGAAGTACACTCAATGCTGTACATCTCACCCGAGACTGTATTGACTCAGAATTAGTAATATATTTCAATACATCTCACCCGAGACTGTATTGACTCAGAATTAGTGTTATACTGTAATACAACTCACCTGAGACTGTGGTGATTCAACCTCAGTGTTATACTGTAATACAACTCACCTGAGACTGTGGTGATTCAGACTCAGTGTTATACTGTAATAAATCTCACCTGAGACTGTGGTGATTCAGACTCAGTGTTATACTGTAATAAATCTCACCTGAGACTGTGGTGATTCAGACTCAGTGTTATACTGTAATAAATCTCACCTGAGACTGTGGTGATTCAGACTCAGTGTTATACTGTAATACAACTCACCTGAGACTGTGGTGATTCAGACTCAGTGTTATACTGCAATAAATCTCACCTGAGACTGTGGTGATTCAGACTCAGTGTTATACTGTAATAAATCTCACCTGAGACTGTGGTGATTCAGACTCAGTGTTATACTGTAATACAACTCACCTGAGACTGTGGTGATTCAGACTCAGGGCTATACAGTTGATGGCATGTCTATGAGCTATCACAAGATTAAAACCATACTGAAAAAATAGAGACAAACAAACTCAAACCCTTGTCTGTGCATAATTAATAAACAGACTTCTTGAAAACTGTCGAAACTTTTGTCCTGTCAGACATTTTTTATAAGGACCACCAAAAACCTTACTGTATACAGTCCTAGGGCAGAGGTCTAGAATTATGCTTTCCTGTTGCCCAGAGCAAGTGAAATTTCAACTTGTGAAAGATAATTTTCATGATTAACTTACCCAAATGAGAAAGTAATAAACTTCAGGCTGCGTCAGCAAAACTTTTCAAGTACATTTGTGACTTTTTTAACCAGGCAAGTGGATAACATTTCCCGTGGGGAAGTGGCTTTTAAAAAAAATTCTAGACCCCTGCTAGGGACATGAAAAAAATTATCCATGTTTTCAATATATTCTGACCAGGAAATGTGATTCGGTTTTAAGATCATTATAATTGCGCACGTAGTAAAATACTGAACTGGCCTAATACATAGTTTGAGCCTGAAAGTTTTCAAGAACTCTGTATTAAACTTTAAAACTAGAACTAAGCAGATATATTAAGTACAAGTAGTGTTCAAGACCATTATCTAAACAAAGTTTCAGTTAACAACTCATGAGGTGAACAAGACTGGTTCACTGACTTATTAACCTAGAACATTGGATTCTGGGATTTTACCTGATGGTTCATTATCGCCCGTAGACACATAATACAAACATGGACGTCATCCCTGGCCTCACCCATGTTCAGTTTGGACATCTTGGTGTTGCGCGGGGATCCTATTGTGTTGGAACGCTTTAATTTCCTGGCAGGACTTTTGACTAGACCATCTAAACTGGTACTCTTCTCTTTGTTCAATAGCTGCTCTTTTCTACAATGGGTTTAAAGAATTCAAGTGACATTCCAAGATATGTCCAAATGCTGATTTTTATACACTAACCACTCTATTCTTGCAGAAGAAGATGAAATTAAATGTAAATATTTAATTGTGTAGTAGTTCAAAAAGTTATAAAGAATTGTGAAACTTTGAAATTTAAAACTTGAGTGAAGCTACTCTGGCTAAGTCAAACTAGAATTCATTTTGTTTTTAAAGCTTTTCTGTTAACACACCTCATGACCACCTGAGTATAAGACAGGTAATCCACCAGAACATCGAGACCCTGGTTGTCCTCGCTCAGAAATTCTCGGACCCATCTAAAACAGAATGTCAACAAACGTGTGAAGTGACAACATAAAATCTAACTTCTGATTACAGCTTAATCAGATGGATAACTTGTGTAAGAAAGTTTTACTACATTTATTACAATGATCCTTTTCACCTTTGTCAGAATACAATGGGATTCACTTTACTAAAAGTACATGAGCATCAATTACACAAGCTTCAGGTATCATAGAAGTTTAAACCTCAATAAAGTTTTTTACAATTTTTTGTATGTTTATTAAGTTACCTGGATTCCAATTACTTACTCTATGTGGTTTGTACGAAGCGAGATTTCTAAATCCCTCAGAACTTGTGTAGATGATATGTCATTCAGGTTTTTCTTTTTCTGAAAACAAGTAATAAAGCAGTGTCCATTAATATAAAGCAATCTAAAATACGGAAAGTGGTGAGGAAAAAAATCAACTACTGCCACTACTGAAAAACCTCTACCAAAGGGGATAAGCATGCTCTTAGCTTAATCAATGATTTAATAATAAGATGTAAAAAAATATTGATGCAGAGAAAAATTACTTTAATCTCAGGAAAAAAATTTAAATATTACAATAATAATTCTCTGAACTTTCTATACATGTACAACATTTCAATATGAGCCTATGAGATTGTACATTGTTATGTATTATAGAATCAGACTTCATAATTAACATTCAATGTGATGCCTGTGGGTATATATATCTAGCTGGCCTAATTTCTGTGGTCGCACAAAAAGCCATAGCCCTTAAGTGTTTTTCTGGGGGGAGGGTGATCATGGTCAAAATTCCTACAATCTACTTTGGTACACCACAACACCTCCATGACAACTAGATCTGATGCTATATTTAGGCACAAGGTCAAACCATTAGTGACACGATATTATACGCTATCATTCCAATGGCAGCATTACAGTGCTCTGTGATTAGTTTTACAGAGAGAAAACACTTACGTGGAAACACTGTGGAAATATATATACAGTCTATTGTATTAATCCGCTCGTCACATGACATAATTTTAAATTTGACAATAATAATTAAACTTTTTTGTGGGGCATATTAATTAATGATGATTCATTATCATATAAATACATTTTACATAAGGAGAGGGTTAATATTGTGTAATAAAATTAAGCCAAAGTTTGTAAAGGCTTTTTATGTTGCAACCATTGTCAATTTTAACATTCTACATTGGTATAGTTTCTTACTGCATTAATTATAACACAAGAGTTATGCCATATAATATGGATGTAATGGATGAGTGCGGAGTACAGATATTATACTGATTTAGTGTGAATGAATTCTCCTTCAGGTGAGTAGGAATGAACTGCAGTGATGTAAATCATTAATTCCCACAGCAAGAGTGGACATCCAATAGTAGCTATAGTGGACTGTTCCATAATATTTACAGGTGCAGCATGTTCATCCCCAGAAATTAAACTCAACATAAATTGCGTAATATGAACATCTGAACATAAACTCTAATATAAAATGTACATGTTAACATGTCACTGAATATATATATTTATATGAACACAACATGCACAATAAACATTATAATTAGCAAATAAGGATGAAACAAAAACTTAAAAGAAAAAAAATAAAACAATGAAAGCAATTAAATAGGCAACAAAAGTCGTATAATGTGATAAAAAAATAATATGTCCAACACAACACTGAACAGGTACATAGATTTCCACGATTTCTGTTAATGATATAAATTTAAGGTCCGAAAAACAATGCATACATTATAACTTACGTCCGGATAAACACACGCTCCCATTAGCTAAATTAAATGGAAGTCGCAAATTACTACCCTTTATTTCTATTTAATCAATTTGATGAAACTTGTCAATGTTTTATATTCATATATAAGTATCAAACTTTCATCACCTAGCTATGCTAGGAAAGATATACAGTTTATAATTTACAATACATTCAAGTTTCTTGAATCACCTATCCTGGCATCATCAGAAACCATGCTTTTTTGTGCCCATAATTGTGAAATTAGAATGGACATAAAAACCTGTGACTTGTGATGATTCCATCAATGTGATGTACAGATGGATAATACAATATTTTACACTTTCACTCACTTTATATGAATAGTCTAGAGACTGAATATGAATATAAACAATAAATGATTTGAGGAAATTTGAATCTTCACTACATGTTATCGTTGCATGTGTATCAATATATGGCTGACTATAGCCCTTCTATTTATGCTAAGAAATCAGGTCTGAATTCAAAATGGCTGTTAATAACAAGAAGAAGACAATGTCATGATTCTTCATTTAGAATAAAACACTTCAGACCTAGCCTTATATTCAATTTCCCTTTTATAACAGATGTTTAGTGCTTGATTGTTTAAGTCATAACATCCTGTCTGGCGCTAGCGACCCCCTCTTACAATTTTTATATGATAATGATATTAATACATATCAGCTACTTAACTCTATTTTCTTTCACTTTTATGCGATTTAAGATAGATAAACTGCCTGAATATTATTTTTTTTAACTTTTTCTATTAAAAACCATTTATTATGTGCATTTTTTATGAATGCCCCTCTGTTCACTATAATCATACGTTTTAGTGAGACAATGTATATAAACCCTTCTGTCTAAAATAACTGACAAAGAAAAATCCTAATTTCAGCAACACAGATTTATCATGCAAAACACCATCTCTGAGAAGCTGGAAAAAAAATTCACAAATGAAAATTATATGTCTGCAACGCACGCAGGTACATAGAGGTTACAACAATGACTCGAAACTAAAATAACACAGTATGTTAAGCGTGAGATGGAAAGTTACGATGACGTACTGCGTCTAATCCACACTGTAGGGGGAAGGCCACCAAGTGAAGGGCTACGCAAGTATCGTGCTGAAATAAAGGTGGGCGGAGACAATGAGACATGGGCGGAGACAATGAAAGGTAGCTAATAACAGAAAATCTACAGCGAGACACAGTGTCAAAGGTTTGCTATCTCAGAGTTATTTCAACCTAAATCCACAAATGTGGATTTCACAAAAAGACATATTTCCGAAATTTGCAAAAATTCAGCAAAGTGATCTGTGTCTCCAAAGACACTGCAGACATAGGAGATATCATTATCCTTCAGAATATTACAATCAATCTGACTGGTTGAGAGCATGTTGTGTGCAGGGAGACAATTCATGATGTCTCCCTCAAGTGCAGCATGACACCTTTAGTCTCCCTGTAGATGACAATAAAACTGTGACAAGCAAGAAAAATAAAATAGATTAATTAATTCATAGACAGGATCAGTAACAATCAATTTTATCAGTTACATCAGTGTTGCCTGTTATTTTGGCATCAGATCTGTAGGTAGGAAAAAATAAGAGGTTTGTCGAAAAATAGTATCGCTATTGATTTCTATATAATTTGGATTCTTCAGGATAATAAAACTATAATACAGACTGTTTAGTAGGGAAACATCACAATTGTCAGGTCTGCTTGAGGTTGTCTCCCTTGTGTGTAAGCTTTATTACCCCTGAGTTACCACCCTTACTCAGATCTGACAAATTGTGACGTCTCCCGGCCTACTTTACAGTTCTGTATCTTATACATGTGTATGGGTACCCCATGTGTATCTCTGATAAATAAAGATAATCATTTTAGAGTTACAAAAAGCACCTTATATTAGGTTATTTAACAAAACACATGATAGTTTACCCAGCCAATGTGCCCAACATTTTTGGTGATGAAATAATGTGTATATTCTTGCAGAAGACCACCCAAAGATAACAAACCTCGCTGTGACTGGTATAAGAAATCTTACACATGAAAAAAAGTCACAATGGTTGCATGAGATTTCTTTGTATATATAGGCCTAAAATCCATTTTTATCATAGCATATTTCACTTACAGCATTTCAAATATTGAAATTTTCTTGGAAAAAAAATTTCCCACCTACCCGACGACCCAATATTTTTACCCTAAGTCAGGAGAGGGCAAACAAAAATTATTTTAAAGATGGCCTAAATTGTAAATCTTTTTTACTGTAAGAATGACATGATAAACTCCAAAAAACAAGCTTGATAAAATCTCTATAGTGTTTTTTGCTGTTTTTCTTCTCAATGGAAATTTTTTTTTTTTTTTTAAATTTAAGTTAACATCATTCAAAAAATTTTCTACACAAAGTATAAATTCACATACTGAAATTATGGTTCTATTATACTACAGTGGAAATTTACAAGTCTCAAAATACACAGTTAATAAGAAAATAATTCCCCTAAAACAGTAAACCTTATACTTCCTCAATAAAAGTTATAATTGGATTTTTTTTTCATATCTATAAAACACTACAACATAAATTGCCAAGCACTTGAAAATTGAAGTACATTTTTCAAAAAAGTAGCTAAGTAAGTATAAATGTATGACAATTCATAATATTCTCCCTCAGCATAAATAAGGCTATACAGATTTATTTATAGTAGTGTACAGTGACTAGTATTCAGTAAAAGTAATCATGATGTAGTGATATAAACAAGACAAAAATCCTGTATATATCACAGTGACAATCAAAAACTCTTTAACCTTATTCATGTTTACATGTATATATACGAGTACAACTGAACAGAAGTTTTATAGGAAGGATTGTAGTTATAATTTTTTACTAAATCAGTTAGTTAAATGTAAAAATGATAAAAAAAAATTTTATATAAAAAGAAAATCATAAATAGAGTATAAAATAATATACGTTTTTATAAGACATCAAACTAAAAAGTATATCATTGATTGTTCTCAAACTATAATATAAATATTTACATAAATAATTATATACATGATCAGCTGATTTATGTAAGTATTCAATGAAGTTGTCAGTTCACTTTTTATTAAGTAAACATAATATGTGTGTATTTTTGTACATTTTTTTTGTACATTCATACAGGTTTAAATAAACTCTACGTTATACCTCGGCATTTTTTCGACAGCATAACGGACTGCCTAACTGTCCTTCATCCTATGAAAAGTCCATACATTTAAAAAACGAAACATGTAGATTTCAAAGGTGCATTAACCTTTAATATAGTAATGAAAAAACACTTACCACTCGTGACCCTCTACTATTGCGAGGATCAAGATAGGTTCGGAGTCTGTCGAGATACACATGGGGTGGATCTTTGGCGTGGACCCGCTCCTACAAAATAAAAAATGTTAGGCATCAAGTATATGAAACACATGGACCAGCGCTTGCAAAATAAATTATAATTCTGGTTCAAGTAAATGAAACACAGTAGCAAATTAAAATATATGCTGACTGATGGAAGTCTACATAAAAGTTACAATTACATTATAAATTTATAAAAGAATTCTTCTCAGCCAAACAAAAATATCTTTTGATATGGTCCCCCAGGAAGTGTTTCTCTAAATATTTACACTGCGTGACCCCTGGCTGTCTGTCGAAAAAGATTGAAGCAGAAAGGCTAAGATTATTTACTACATTATAATTATCAATGGTCTGAGTCCATTCCAAAGCATTTTTTGTATTTTTCTTTTATTATATTTTCTCATAAATATATACAAATATACACAAAAATATATTTTCATGCCAACCAGTTCATCACTGATACATGAACCTTTGACCTTATCATTTACTCTTGTGCATGTATAAATTTCAGCCTTTTTAAATTTTCCAATTCTTTCACAATAAGTTCAGATGGTCAATGATACGGAGAGTGTGCCTACTATTTCAGACCACTTGAATTCATTTTTTTATGAATAAATTTATGATCAATCACATGTATACTTTTTTTTAAATAAATAATTACGATTCCCTCAAAATGCTAGTACAGCAAAAACAAATTTTACTGTGACCTAAATTCTTCTTTTTATATTTACATTTAATTTAATGGAACCAATAATTTGTGGGTAGCTATTTGCTATTCCCCACTGTGTACATTGTAAGGCAGGGTAATACATCACGTCCCCCAGATTCTTATCAAAATGGTATATTATCTCCCGATTTCTAAGGGTTCAGTGCCTTGTAAAACACCTGGTCTGACCCACTATACACTAGATACATAAAGGTATCCCCCGATACATTTGTTAACATAACATAGGCTATAGAGCTAGGTGTGATAAATTATTCTGATACTGCCTGATCTAATAGGACGCTATTATATCCATCATTAAGCCAACTATTTCAACTATGTGTGATATTTTCTGTTATCTTCAATATAATATGAAAAATATGACATGTTCAATTTAAATGTAGTAAAACCATACACAATTAATATACCGAGATTTGCGAGAGACTGATGAATATTACATGAGTTTGTGTGACAATACAATAAAACACATTCCTAACACACTATGAAGTGAAAGGAGAAAATGTCATCCCCCTTTCTAACTCCAAAAATATTCACATCAGTGGAGTCAAATATTAAATACATACATCTATAAATACAGGCTTGGAATTTGGATTTTGAGTTAGAGGGGGCACCATTTAATGGGAGGAGTCTGGGAACCTCCAATGTCCTTAGCAGGTCAAGAACAGTGTCCTTGTGTGTGCTTGGTGTGTGTGTGGTGGTATGGTTGGGGGGGGGGGGGGGGATAAGCTTTCGAGAATCATCACCTAGAGACCCTCATTTTCACACATAAATGAATATAATTTTACCTTCATATCTGACAGTGAAAACTATATCTGAAAGTATCAATTTAATAACCACTCATCATGAATAGGTCAAGTAAATATGGCATATTTTAGCACGTGTACGAATGCTGATCATGTTAAGATACTAGTTTAAAATTATTATGAATGTTCATTTTGGGTGGACCCTTATCTAGGAAACTCCAGCTATATGGAGACCACTGGCTTCTACAGATCTTATATCCTTAAAACTAATGTTACCCAAAAGGAACAAGGATCTACATTACTTTATAACAAGGAACTGGTGATGCATTAAAAACAGGCTGTCAACAAGAGAGAGATATATAATGGCTCATACTCTAAGAGGGTGTGTCAAAATAACTGAAAAGTGGACAAGAAAATGGGGAAAAAAAGGGGGGGAGGTGAAGTTTTCACTCCCAAATTTTATGAGAACATGTATACATTAAAATCTGCAAACCCAAGATAATCTTTGTAGCATTATATAATCATTATTAGAAGTCTAAATTTGTCATATGACATAACTTTTTTTCTCCAGATGCACATTACACTTTTATACAATATAAAGTAACAAGTAAATATTGCTGCTATGATTGCAGTAAATCAGTGTCCCATGGCTCTTTGACGTAATGTTACACAGCATTCGTCATGTCTGCCAGACTCGGTCCACCTTTCACGACTAATGTCCCCCCAAAACAAGGGAAATCAATATGAAATATTTGCAGTAACTCATACAATTTAATTAAGAGTGATAAATTAGTCACTCTGTGTACAACTCTCTCGTTATCTTGGGCCCTCAGTGCATAATCGCAAACAAATCTTAGGGAAAAATCACTACTAAGCATTGCTTTTCACTGCACAATAATTCACATTGTATTTGGTCTGTGCAGCATTTTACGATTTCCATCAATTTTATCCTCAAGCCTGCATATCAAACTGCACCATTGTAACCCCCACAGCAGTGGAATGAGTTAAGACACACTCATAATTGGTGATCAGATGCAATTTTTTATTCTTGATTCCAAGCTGTAAAATTTGCTCCAACAGTAATTGGATTCTTAATAGATTTTTGAGGATGACCCCCCCCCCCCCTCTGTCTCTCCCCAGTTTTGAGATTCACATTTTCTGAGGTGAATCACAATTCCAAATGAAGGATCTAATATAACAGGATGATGTTAAATACACATGTTCAGATCTAAGAGAGTAGGGTCTTTTTGAGAGCTCCACATGATTTTTAAATTATCTTACTTAATTACGCATACAACATTAGTGTATGGCCTGGCCTAGCCCATCTCAGTGCTGAATGATTCAATCTGTTATTTACTAAGAGTCTGATCTAGAACCTAATGCATCTGCTAGAATTGTTTCATGAATCAGACAAAAAATTAATTCACTAGTTTGTTCTATAAGGGCACTTGTTTTGTTTGTTTATTAAATTGCATCTACTTAGCTTTCAAAAATAACAGTTCATTGCTATTTATTAAATAAGATTCGTTGTTTAAAAATAAACCCACTCCCTTGTACCCCCACCCCTTTAACGACTGGCAAAAATGGAAAAGAAAGCGTTTCATTGTTCAAAAACAGCTCTTTTCATGTACAACTGGCCATTAATTGACAATTTCACCAAATTTTGGAGAGGTGTTGGATTTCATGCATGTAATCACATAGCTAGCTAGCATGTTCTCTCTACTGTATCATATCTTGACAAGAACAATGGCCAACAGTTGCTTAATCTTTACTGTGTTATAGCATGCAAACTCTTAATTGACTTCTGTAGTGTGTATGTCCTACAGATGTTCTAGGGTTGTTCAATCTGTGAGTAGACAGCTATTACATGTAATAATTACCCAGATCACTAAGTACTGTGTTATACACTGGAATCAGTTACTACAGAAAATTCTGATGGAGTAAAAACTTCTGTTAATATATATGTACCAAGATACAGTAAGAAAATAGTGAGTAATTGATGCGCACTAACAAAACACTGTTCACCTAAAAACAAGGAGCAAAAGAGAATAATTTACACACCAGCTAGTCATAGGACATTACAGACAATCTGTTACAGAATCTAACATCTGCCACTTCTGTATGTTCTAGATGCTTCATATTTACTGCATATCTGTGATGTGCAATGACTTGCATTCTGTTACAATTACCCCAGAATACATTTCAGTATTAGAGGTCAGAACATGATGTCTATCAGGGCTCTTACTATTTATCCTCTATACACGAATTATTGTAGATTTGGTATTTAAGAAATGCTTATAAACTCCCGAACATTAACTTGATGTCTACTAATCTGAGGCATCAATTCCCACAGCTTACAAGTTGCAAGAATGTTTTTGATTTTTATGTATCTCGAGGTCAAGGCCATGCCATACTTTCAGAAAAAAATAGTTTCCTCCTCATTTTTTACTGTATACATGCTGTATTTCAGGAAATCTGAATTTATGATAAAAAGATAACATGTGAATGCATAAACAATTTATATAAACATGTGCTAGATATGAAATTTCAATCAACACAGAAAATGATTTTAATATGTACACCATTTTTTAATGTTGTAAACCATCGCCAAACAAATAAAAAATTATAATAAGAAAATAAATTCAAAATAAAATCTAAATAATAAACCTAATTGGCTTGAACTGCAATATTTTTAAAAACTAGAATTATGTCCATAGAATATATATTTATGTGGACATGAATTAATTCCCCACCCAGGGTTCATTAGTAATGCAACATGAAAAGAAATATACCTCCCTTCTTAGTTTAAGGATTAAGATTAGGGTACTGTAGACATACATTTTCCGCGTGGGATTAATTTACGCTAAGTATGCAGTCACAAATTTTCTGCGGAAATTTGTCTCAGCTTACTTAAGGTGCATTTAGGACAAACAATAACAACAAAATGCGTAATTTCCTACCTGCAGATTGAACATAAATTGTGATTCTGCAGATGATCATGACCAGGAAAAAAGTATGTTAACATTACGGTCAAGGTCACAGGAAAGGTTAAGATAAGAAATTTACAACAAAGTTGAATGGCTTGCAACAATATGTATTAGTTAATGAAGTTTGATAAAAATATCTTGAATAGTTTCTTATAAAATGAGTTTTAAACATGTTACATACTGGAGTAAGGTCACAAGGAGGGTCAAGGTAAAAAAATTTGGAACAATTGATAAGTTCTCACCAGTATGTATCAGTGTATGCATTTAGATGAAAATGCCCTTAATAGTTTCTTTAAAACTGAGCTTCAAACAAAAGAAAAGTAAGGTCAAGGTCAAACATTTTGGACACAGTTGAATAGTTCCCACAAATATGCATCAGTACAAGTCAACTGTTTACATAAAAATATCTTGAAAGGTTTCTTTAAAACTGAGCTAAATGCAAAATAAAATAAAATAATAAAGTCAAGGTCATAGGGAAGGTCAGGGTCAAAAAATTCTGATGCAGGTGAATAGTTCTCACCAAAATGTAATAGCACAATTATGAAGCTTGATAAAAAAAAATATTGTCTAATGAAAAGTTTCTTTGAAACTAGCTAACAAAAATTAAGAATAATAAAGTCAACGTCAAATAAGGTCAAGGCAAAAACATTTTGCTGTTGAATAGCTCTCACCAATATGTATCAGCATATGGAGTTTGATAAATATGTCTTGTGAATAATTTGTTTGAAACTGAGCTACATACAAGTTACAGAAAAGTGAGGTCAAGGTCAAAGGGAAGTCAAGGTCAAATTTGTTTGATACAGCTGAATAGCTCTTACTCATATATATCAGCATATGAAATTTGATAAAACTGATTTGAAGCCGAGCTAAACACAAAGTGTGAAGGATGGGCAGACAGCCAGATGGAAAGACAGAGATGGAGATGAAAAACACTATATGACCTGGCCATATTCATGGCAGGGAATAAAAATCTTCATTTTTCATCCCCCCCCCCCCACACACACACATACATACAAACAAAGAAAAGAAAAGGGAATTTTAAACTCATAAAGCATAAGTTATCATGTTGTACAATGTATTTATTTTACTCTTTGACAGTAATCCTTTAAGGAAGCGGAGAAGAAATTAAATGACAATGTCCAGATGGGAGGAAACAATACTGAATTAATCCACTTAATCCTTACACTTCAAGTATACTGTCTGAAAACCATTCTCCCTCCCACAGCAACCTCTCAGAAACAAATCCATTCTCTTTTAATGCACAATAAATTACTGTGAGAGCTCATTTATAGGTCTCAAATTTAGATAAGAGGAAATGGATGAAAAATCCCTCTTTTCTGTTTTTTGTTCAACATTTCACACACCATGAAAATTGACTCGGCTCTCATAATGGTAATTACGTAATCAGAATATAAGTGTATCTATCTTGAATTCAATTTTTTTTACTGTAACTTTTTTTTTTGCAGCAGCTTTATTTGTTTAAATCCTGCTCTAAAAATGCATGCCAGATCTGCCAAGAATCCACTTCCTCATGTAAAACGATGAAATTTACTCCGAGTTTAAAAGCCCCCTTGCAGAACACTTTCACTTGAGTTCATTAAACTCTTCAGTTCATGCATTTGAAAGTTGAAATCTATGTTATATATATATACAGTGTAGGCTTCCCACCTATCCATATACTTACTTTCACTCATGCCAAATATAGCAGTACATGTATTACAGGAAAAGTTGAAGAGTTCTCTTCAAATCCAGGGTTTATAAATGGAAACAAACCATGAATTTCATGTTTCATTTTGTATTACACAAGCTGATGTTTTACATGGATTTTAACTTCAAGCCCACGCATTCGTAAACACAATCTTTTTTCTTATTTAAAAAAAGAAAAGTAAGAGCTGTCATCAATTTTGGCACCATCTGAATCAAGTGCATTTACAGATAGGATCCACTACCTAAACAACCTCATGGAATCAAACAAATGTTATCCCATTGCCAAAAAGTTAATATTTCATATGCTAGCTGTGAAAACTTGAAATCACACTTGATTATCATGTCAGTTCTGTAGAGTTTTCTGCCCTTACCTGATCACAAATCAAGTCCCATTTCTTCTCATCGTCATAGCCCTTTAGTACTTTAGCCTTGTCAGGGGGCAGGTCCATAGAGGCCTACAAAAGACATACAAAATGTTATAACAAATTTAAAACAGACTAATTATATAATTGCCAGATCTTAGAGACAGAAGAATTCATTGAACACTCCCATGATAATAAAATTATCACTACTAATGACAGGTAGGACTTTCACTGTAACAAGATCACAGTTTTATTTGTTGTTTTTTCAAGACTGACTTGGTGGTCCAATCACACTTACTATCAGGTCATGAACTGATGACCTAAAAATTTTTTGGGGTTGCCATTTCAGAATTTTGGTTACCATTAACAAATGATTCACTCTCCATGGTGAAAAACAATATGTGAATAACACAAGTTTATTATAAATACAAGGAACAAACACTCACATGTATTACTTTATTAATGATAAATCAAAGATAAATCATTACGGTACTTATTACTGTGACTAAACAATTAGCTAGATTGCAGGAATCAATTAGGAAATATTGTTATTAAATATAAGTACCCCTATGGTTGTATATAACAGAAGATCGGGAGTGATCTGATCCTAGAAATAAATTTAACTCAAATGAAATGCAAGGATTTTGATTGGTATGCGCATAAGGTGGACATCTACATGTATTGAGACAGGGCTAATTGCCAGCTGTTTGCCATGTTTACTATACATGTAACCTATTTAACAGTTGCTGTCAATACCACAATAATGAAACACTTTTAATAAGATATGATATTCAAGCATTTACAAAACTTGAATAATGTTCTAATTCCAAATGAAATTCCTTTCAAAAGACAAACTTTATTAAGTAATCTAGGTCCTAGCGACACTGTACAATTATTTTAAGAATATACATGTATCTTTAAACATTTTGTTGATAGAAAATCTTGGAAAAAGTAAATCTCCATCCCTACCATATAAACCGACAATCGATCGTTAGCCAAAAATTTTTCAGTCTCAAAATACTAGTAAGTTTTAATTTCTATTCGCAAATTCTCGCTCTCCTTTTTGACCATTTTAGTCACAATTTAGAGTATAACTTACTGAAATTTTCAATAATTTGAAAAGAAAAAATAAATAAAATTTTGGATTTTTTTAAATTTTACTTAACCCAAAGAACACTTTTTTTTTTTTTTTTTAGAAATTAAATCTGATAATCATAAGATTATTACCTATTCATTGATATTTCCTATATTTCTTAAAATGGATGTTCAAATTGTGGGCTTCCCAACCCAGCTACCAAATTATAACTGGCACACAATTTTTAACCCCCTAGAAAACTTTGATTATATGTATAAAGATAAAGGGGAGGAGGGGGTTAATTATTAATTCTGAGGGAATTTTTGGTATTTAAATTTTATACAAACACTCTAAAAATCAGCTCATTATCTAAAAGTGTAGTTAAAAAAAAGTCCGGAAAACTTAAATTACCTTGACAGAATAACGGAATGACAGAATGACTTACAGAGAGGGGTAACACAATTGTCCCAGCCATTTCATGGCAGGGGCAAAAAAAAGGAAAAATTTTTCTGAATTTCAATCTTTGTTACTTTACTCAGGAGTTGAAATATACGGTAGCCTGACGTCTGGGGCTAGTTATTTTAATATTCGAGCAAGCTAATTTTAATGTAACAATAGTCCATCGGACTGACAGACCCGATAAAAAAAAATTGAAATTTTACTTGTGTTATGTTTTCATTTCGGCAGCATAAAAAATTGTTGGGCTAGTTAGTTTGAGGTTTGGGCTAGTAAATTTTTACTGATCAGTAGCCCCTGGGCTAGTGAGTTTTCCAGGAAAATTTCAACCCCTGTTTACTTTGTACATTGTTACATCAAACCTTATACTCTCTGTACAAATATACACATCTAAACAGTGTTACAGGGAAGTTCATTTCAGCAAAATCAAATAAAAAGGCCCATTAAAAAACTTCAGATCTGGAAAATGATTTAGTGTGAAACACAGATTGTATGAACATACAAAATATATTATTATATAAGATAGTTTAACCATAATATAATGGCCTTAAAATTTTAATGTGCAGGAAGAATAGAGAAATAATTATCTTTATAAAATTTTGATTCCAAATTTACTAACTTCACCCCAAACATTGTAATGTAAACATCAGCAGGGAAAAAGTGTTAAGTCTATAGGCGGGGTTTTATTTAACAAAATATCTTCTCTTGACGGATAACACTCACAGCGGGCTTAGAGAAATATGCCAGAAACACCGAGACTCACACGCTAGGACCTACACAGAAAGCATGTTTCATAATCAGAATTACATGGAGCTTAAGAAAATAGATCACCGCTTCATAATTTGAAACTTTGATAGAAATAACTTGGAAGAATATATCTCTAATGCAAAACCAGGTTGGGTGCATTAGCACTGAATAGGGTAAGTATCAGGTGAATTAAAGTTTAAAATGTTCTATCTGAAAGTCTTAATAAACTTTCTCCAAAATGCAAGTATATATTTCTCATTTGATAAAGAACCCTCACTGCTCAATGGCCTTGAATGCCGAGTAAAGGTCTTAAATTTTAAGCCCTCCACCGGTATATGGTGACTTAATTCTCTATATGAGTGAAAAATTCTCAAACGGGACGTAAAACACCACACAATCAAGCAATCATTTCACATGGAACAAGTTTTACTGCATAATGATACAATGACTACCTTTACAAGAAAACTGATATAATTAGATTTATTACACAATGGAATCAGAAAGATAAAAGCCAAATCATTCCTATATAATTTTACTTTTATGCCACAATTTGGATTCATTTTTTTCTCACAATATCACTGCAGTTTACCTCTAAATTGTCACTTTTACAATTATACCTACAAATACTAAGTCACACAGGCTTCATGCAAGATTCCCTACATGTATAGTTGTGTAGTTATGGTGCAGTTTAATATCATTGAAGGCCTTTTGGTACGGTTCACACCTTCAGCTGGTAATGTAATTATACTGAAGTCAAGAAAACCATGGCAATGTTTCAGATGTTTCTGTAACAGTTGGCAACAGTACACTTGTAGAGAGGAAGGGATCAGTATATAAGCTGTCAGAAGTCAATCAACTCTATAACCATAGAATTCTCTAAGTATCACCAATATTAACAAGACCCTGTAATGTAATATTCTAGTGAGGGTAGGCTGCAGTGTTTGAAGTATATTTCCCTGACCTAATTGAGGTTTCTTTTTGTTCCACAACCGTCTTCACTTGTCTCTCAATTAATTCTCTCATTCATGTTTTGTTCTCCATATAAACAAATTTTACACTTATTGGCAACATATAACAGCTACTGTAAAGAAAAGATGTATGCAAACTGAGAAATGTATCCATGGATGTATACATGTACTGAAACATTTCTTAGTTCAAGAAAAAAGTTTTGTGTAGGTACATGTAAATACCAATGTATCAACATAAATTATGAAATTCTTAAAAAGAGGGAGAGGACTAAACACAGAAAAGTTTCACTTGAAAAATATATACACTCAGTCATTCCATATTTTGAGTCCAATACACAGTACATAAACATGTAAGTGTATGTATATTATTGTAGACATATTTTTTTATTTCACTTGTGAGAGGAAAACAAGTATGTCAACCTTTGTGGAGAAATTTTGGAAAACACGAATAACTGGAATTTCCAAAGATAAGAAGGAATTAAGTATAAATTTATAAATTTTGGTTATTTTCAGGTGTGATCAAGGTAATATGGCCTAGCTAAAAGAATTTGTCATGGTTAACAGTGGTTAAATGATGAACTTTTATAAAAGTATATATATATTAGTAGGTGATTGTTATAGTAGTACTAGACATTGCGTGGTCACCTTGGGGTGTGTCTGACTGAGGAATGCTGGGTAATCATCGTCTCCTTGTTTAGTGTCCTATCTGTCAATCATTACATCACAGTTCATCCTACTTTATCATTATTGTGTGACCTTTATGAGGTCATCTGAGGTTAATAAGGTCACTCAAGGTGTGGCTTCCGATCCACAAATCAAAACAACTCTGATTAAGACAGCAATCTATATTTATACACACTAGTACTTCACGTGTCAGTCAGTTAATGAGTAAATGTCATAAGTACTTAAGATGACCATATGATGTTAATTTTATTCCTTACTCAATTAACAAACTTTGTAGACTTGTCAATTTCTCACACCATAACCCTATATCATGTATTATATAATATATATAAATAGCAGTAATATGTGTCTAGATGTGTATATGTTTGAGTGCTAACAGGTGAATCTCTAAACACATAGATATTTCTATGAAAAATCAATTACTCTGTGCTAAATTATTCATGTAAACATCTATACAACACTTTATAAATTTTGAAGCAAAAAAAAAAAAAAAACATAACCTGTCATCATGTTCTATAATGAAATAAAGTGTTATAGACCTTACTACATGTGTGTGCCATGCCTTCCAATCTACAAGAATTCTCAATGTTTCTAAAGTAAATAACTGTACATTAACTTAGCAGAGCTCTAGCAACAACAATACCTTATATTTATATGGTATATTTCTCGAGGCAAAACCAAAATGATGTGTACAAAATCTCCACTATATTCTGTATAATACAAACTCTGTACTTGTGCTAGCACATATAAAACAAGACATAGCTAACGTTCATTCAGACTTTAACCCCTTACCGTCGTGAGAAGGTTTTAAGACTAAATGATTTTAGACATGTTGCCGTTTTTTTCTGACAACATGCAAAGGTGCAGTGCCAAGTGAATAAACCTATTACACCTTTGCACTATGTAGTTATTCTGGAATATTGGTTACCAGCAGCTAGAGCACATACAATTAATACAAATAAAAACTAAATGCAGGGCTTAATTCATCCTATTTCGATACAGGGACCTGTACCTCTTCGATTTGGAATTAAGAATTTTTACAAAAGACGCAAAATTTGACAACACTGAAGTCGATGACATTTTACGACTGTTGGAATATCCCCTGTGCTCATCTTTACATACCTCAATCTTTACAAACATCATTCAAGACTGCTGATGATTTTAAGCAATGAAAAATTCAAACCGTTATCCATTTTGGAATTTTTACCTGCATCAGATATATATATTAAGCACTATTGGCAATAAATGAATATGAAAATTAAGCTTCAGACAAAGAGGTGGTTACTTATTCTCCCTCTATGTTTGCTGTACAGAAAAGACCTTGTATTTTGAAGATCATAGATGTCAAATTGTTTGGTCATGAAACATTACAAATATCCAACTGTATGCACATACCCCTCAGGGGCGTAGCTTCCATTGTGGCAATGAGGCAACTGCCTCACTATAATTTTCACAACCACCACCACCCCTTCCCATATTCAACAATACATTGCAGATAATACGCAAAATTAATGGCATTTCTTTTAACATTTTAAGCAGTTCTATAATGTTGAATTGAAGTTTTAAAGAAATAAAAGCAAAGTTTAACAAGATGCGCTTTCACCTTTAAACGTTTTAAAAGTTTTAGTAAACATATTTATTAACTCTTTTACATTCTTTTACAATATGTAGTATCATGCTGAAGTCTTAAATAAAGAAACCAGTACAGCAAATGAAATTTCATTGCATTTTAAAACTCCAACTCTATTTTTTGTCGGAGTGCCCCCCTCCCATGACACCACCCGGGACCTGCTGGGGGCTTAAGGCGGCCCCAGCCCTCATGCTGCTACATGTATGGTTTTGCCTCACTAGAATTTAAAGTCAAGCTACGCCCCTGCCCCTGTATTTCAAGTGGTAGACTTAGATTTCCTATATGTATATACTGCAAGCTGTAAGCGTGTTAAAAATTTTACGATAATAACTGATGTATGTCCTAGACATGGTCCGAATGACTGTTTACGTTTGAGGTGTGTATGGTAGAGGTTCTTCCAGGTAAAATAAAGCATGACATCTTAGGAAGAGGACTACTCAGAAGGTCTGAGGCAGTGAGTAGCTAGATTACAGGGAAATAAAATGAAATTGGGGTACAGAGAGAAAGGGGTCCAAGAATCAAGATGAAATCTTATATTGTGTTGTTTTAGTTGTTAGTAAATATTCAAGAATTTTTTCAAATAAATATTTTCTACACTCTGGGAGCAAGCTTGTGAAGAGAGAGAGCTGCAAACTGATTCAACTTCATCAAGCAATTACCATGATTACCCTTCTCATTACACAACTCTGTTGAGATCATTAATGCGGCTCTGAACTTAGAAAAGTTCTATCATTAAAATTATTTTGTATTATGGACCCAGTTTAATGATAGAATTTGTTCCATGTGTTGTCAAAAGCAAAATACACAGGGGCAGATAATTCTAACCTATACTACGAATAATCCAGAGAGTTTCAAATGTCATCATCATAATGCTGCGTAAATTCGAGGCAATTAAGAGATTAACGTAAAAAAAAAATGAGTTCAATTATTGTCTTTAATACATGGATTATTTTAGAATAGAAGGCATATGTACAAGCTCAAAAAGGTCTCTTTTGAGTAATTTAGTAGTTATTTTCAGTGCAACTCCTTTTGTATTCTTCAAAATAGTTTCAGGGCAGATACACTCCCATTTGCTGCATTGCAACTATATCGGACAAATTCTAACTGTGATGGGGGCTTGTCCCGACTCCTGATTGAGACCCAGTGAAGTTATTCTAACTATTCCGAAATATTTTTTGCACTTTGGAAACAAACACCTGTGTGAGGGAGCTACAGGCTAACTCATCAAGCAATTACCATGGTTAACCTTTTCATTACATGACATGTGCTGAGACCATTACATTTGTGTATCACTGCAGTTCTGTACTCATCATACTTCTGTTATTTACATACAGTGTGTGTTGTGTTTCAGGAGACTGGGGAGACAATACCACGGACTGTCCCTGAGAATAAACTTACCAGTACTTTTGTGAACCTCTTCTCCAGTTCGTGAGGGTCGGGCATTGGCAGACGCATCGGCATCGCTACAGATGTTCTGAGATCGAATCCTCTGTGATTATTGTGCATGCTTTCACCATTACCCATTTCTACCATAGGAGTGATGCGATCTAGCTCCTCCCCACTCTGACTCTCGTCAAAATGGTCCGAGCTCTCGGTCGATCTGAAGTCTGTGTTCGTTCCATTTTCTGAATGAAAAGCGATGGATAAGAGTTATGTCAACCGATTTGCGAGGGTTTTTTAACACAAACTCGTGCACATTACATGCCTTTGTTTAAATTATAATTTGTCATTCCAAGTTATAACACTATGAGTGATTTAAATCTCAGGATGATTAAAATAATTTCCTCTTTCATACACAGGAAAAAGGCCAGGCTCAATGATGTTATGAGTCATCGTACTTTCTCGCGAGAAATAGAATCTGTATCAGTACAACGCTTACTCGTACAGACGCTTAGAAATTTAAGAGGGACCGTATTCAGATGTGATAATTTATTTGATGAACAAACTTGTAATTTGTTAAAATATAGAAAAGAACTCTTTTCTTTAACAGTTTAACCAAAGACAAAAGGAATGCACGATGATTCAAAAGTGTATTTTTTTTTCAAATAAACAAAAAACATGCACAAGATATCTTTTGTTAAACATCAGTGGAGAAAGTTTGTGAGTGACATTCAAATTAACCAACTTTAATTTTAAAAAAATCAGGAAAAAAGATGTTATTTCTTTTAGAGTTGTGAAAAGTAGCACTTACGTGGTAAATATTTCACTAATAAAAAGAAATTTCACATAAAATATGTACGATACATTCTTCGTCTATATGCAATATACCAATAAACATGATAAATATGATAAAAGAATTATATTATATGAAATTGTAAAGAAATTAAACTGATTAACTGAACTTGAGAGCTATACATGTCAGACACAAAGGAGATTATTATTTATAAGTACGTCTGATTAAGACCACATTAAAATAAATCCCTATTATTACGGTGTACATGTATCTGTCAAACATGCACTAGGCAGATTTCACTCACTATTTTCTCTAATTCTATTTGTAAATTTCCTCCCCAACCTCACTCCCATTAAGGAAGTCAGTGTTTAAATACAATAGTACTTACTTGTGTTTACAATAGAAATAACACTGACCGTTTAAAACCAATTGAATATTGACTTCTTAACAATAGTATTGACTTGACAGTACTGATATGCTTATAATAGTATACATGTAGTAAGTATAAAAGTGACTTATTTACGATAGTATATAGTGACTTAATTGTTTAAAATATTAAAGTGACTTGTTTACGATAATATTGACTTGTTTATAATAGTACTGACTTGTTTTCTTTAGCACTGATTTGTTTACAATAGCACTGTTAAATGTTTACTGTAGCATTGACTTGTTTACAACAGTAATGATATGTTTACAATAGTACTGATATGTTTACTTTAGCACTGACTTGTTTAGAATAGTACTGACTAGTTTACAATAGTACTGACCGACTTGATTACAATAGTACTGACTTCATTATAATTACAATAGTACTGATATGTTTACAATAGTACTGATACGTTTACAATAGTATTGATATGTTTTACTTTAGTACTGATATGTTTACAATAGTACTGAATGTTTACAATAGTACTGACTTGTTTACAATAGTACTGATGTGTTTTTTCTTTATCACTGACTTGTTTACAATAGTACTGATATGTTTACAATAGCATTGATACGTTTACAATAGTATTGATATGTTTACAATAGTACTGATATGTTCACAATAGTACTGATACGTTTACAATAGTACTGATATGTTTACAATAGTACTGATATGTTTTTCTTTATCACTGACTTGTTTACAATAGTATTGATATGTTTTACTTTAGTACTGATATGTTTACAATAATACTGACTTGTTTACAATAGTACTGATATGTTTACAATAATACTGACTTGTTTACAATAGTACTGATATGTTTACAATAATACTGACTTGTTTACAATAGTACTGATATGTTTTACTTCAGCACTGACTTGTAATAGTTATATATACTCACCGTCACTGTATTCACCCTCGGGGATTTCGTTCAGGTACAGATTACTGCTGTCGATACTAAAGGACATGTATCGTCCCTTCTTAAACTCGGCCAACAGTCCCAGAGGGTCGTCATCGTAATTGTCATCCATATCATCGAAAGTTGTCAAATCACCCAACAACAATGAATACACAGAAAATCATTTTTATTTTTTGCGAATTACATGGTGATCTTCCGTTTTAAAATAAATCCGGTGATAGCTCGTGTTTGTGTGTGTAATTATAGAGATAATTCTTTTTTCCTCCTAAAATAGCATCCTGAACATTTTCAACACACAAAATCCACGAAAGACTTGGAACACATAACATGCACTAGTCGACAGATTTATGTCGTAACTTCACGCTGTTGTGGTCGCTTTTTCTTCCACACCCAATATTTTTTCCTTTGCTGCATCTAATCTCGACCTTCTTGTTAAAACTTATAAACCCCATATCTCCTCATGCTACAAACACAAACAGGAAGCAATTTAAGTTAAGGAAATTTCTCATTTCACCCTAAGCTCTTTTGACCTCCACCAACAGATTTAGGAGGATGTAAAATATTGACACATTTTTATTTAGAAAAAAAAAAAATAAAAGTTAAACCTCCTGTGTTTGGCGGCACAATCACACGAACTCATCTATAAAGCCTGCCACTCATTGAATTACAGCTGTCCTAGACACACGCAATGAGCACGATCACAATGCTAACACTTATTCTGCCTTCGACTCAAATAATCCAAACTCACCGGACAAAAAAAAATTACACAATGTAGATGAAGTCATGCCTTAGAAATTCCACAGGCTTCGACATGGTTTGAAACTTTAAGAGAATATCAAATATTCTCTATATAAACAGTTGTTTCTGTATATAATATATACATCAATGGTCGCTCGGTAGCTGAAACCAAGCACAGGGCCAGCTTTATATCCCTGAACGTGGTAAAGTTATTTAGAGATGAGATAAAAAGTTAAATGTTGTAGATTATAAGACGATTCGTGTATACTATCAAGGGGGGCATGAATCACTAGACTGTGTGTTTCCTGAGGTTTGAAGGATTTCAAACCGACTCCAGATGCAATACATTGTCAAAAACAGCTGGGAAGGATCAAATCATTCAAGGCAAAAATGAGGAACAAAGTATAAAAAGAAATTTTATATGCGTATATGTTTGGGGGGAGAGGGGAGGGGAGGTGCAGGGAGTTGAGGGGTCGGGCTGCACCGAGTTGCTTAGTTTTTGCTCTCTCTCTCTCTCTCTCTGAAATTTGATTAATATCCCATTTGGAAATAGAATAGTTTGTTTACAACAAAGGCAGCCTCGTTGACAAGTACGAGAATAAATTCCAACGTTTATATTGTATACTTTTTTAACTGAAATTTAAATCTTTTTCAAAAGATTTTTTTGTTTGGTTGTCTACAAAGCTACATAAAGAACGATAATCGAATTTCAAAGTATGCACACATGAAACACTTGTAATGAAATAATTAGACAGGCTGCTCTGTGAGAGTCAACTAATTTAAATCCTGTCATTTACAGAAATTCAATATTGCGCAAACGTAACTTAGTCTATTGATTTCTTTTCCTCTAGAGAAAGAAATATAATTATCATTTATCATGAGACACATTGAAAACCTGATATCAAACAGTAATCGAGATCTACGTAATTTTACACAATGAATTATTGCTCTGTTACCAGTGATTACGTTCAATTTTTTTTCTCTATCAAAAAAAAAAAATATATATAAGAAATTATAAAATTTACTTTCTTCATAACGTTAATAAGTTAAATTTTGAAATTTTTATGAACGTGCTAAAGGCACAACTGACGGCGAGGGGACTGGGGACAGCTCAAGGCCCCCAGAGGGTCCAGGACAGCGCCCTGGTATAGGAGGTTGAGGGGCAAAGCCTCCCGACAGAAATGCTTGGATTTTGAGACCCCTGGGTTATAAATTCTGGGAATATAAAATTCTAGGTCTCTTTAAAATGAAATTTCATAAGTAGAAAAGCTTTAAAAAAGTTCATTCAAACGATAGCAATAATACAAGCAATAATGAACAAATTGAAGTTTGTTTAGAGAAAAAGCTTACTAACCACGACGATGAAGTTGTCAAGTGCCGTAAACTCGGGGGGGGGGGGGGGGTCATAAAAAGCTAGACTGCATTTCTTTTCATGCTGCGATTAAATAAAGTATGGTATATTGGTATTGCTATAAGCTATCATAAGCTATGTGCAAAAATCGTTTTGAAATTAACACATTCAGCTTCAAATGTTTAACCAACTTGTCGTGGCGTAATAAAAATTAAGATTTTAGATTTTTCAGATACCTAAAATTCTACATGTATCACAAATATATAGCGCCACTGCCGAAAATTAAGTACAAATCATGATCTGAATACTATTGTCCTTCCTGATATACTTTATTTTGACAAATAAAATATACATATTTTATTTGTCAAAATAAAGTATATCAGGAAGGACACTATACCTAACAAATCTTGTAAGCGTCAAGGGAATTTTATATCTATCTAATTAACTGCATGTAGAAATTTTAAGGACAACTTTATAAGGTAAGGGCGTAATTATACCATTGAGGCAAGTGAGGCAAATGTCTCATTAAAATTTTAGAAGTTTTCTGAAAAGTAAAAAAGTTTTACTTTGAACTTTAATTAATTATGTCTTTGTACTAAATTAATACTTTCAACTTTTGTCTCAATTTCTGTAAATTGATCATCTCACCAGGTGCTTCTTTATAGTTTAGAACGCATGTAAGACATAATTCAAAACGTGAAAACTTTCAAATATTAAATCATTAATTTACTAAAACCCAGGTTTCGGGACCCCCTCCCCCAAAAACCCCATCACGACACTACCCTGGACCCGTTTGGGACTCGGGTGGCCCCAAGATCTCTTGCCTCACTAAAACTTTGAGCTTAGTGTTCATCCTAACATACTTCATTTAAGCAAATAATTGTTGTATATTTTATTTGCTAAAATAAAGTATACCAGGAAGGACACTAGTACGGCCTTGTAAGGAGTCCTACAGGCCGATGTGTGTTTGTACATGTTGTCGACACGAGCTGAAATAAGCGAGAAGAATCGAAGCTAAGAAAGAGACTATCATGTAGAAAATTGTGCTCGCTCATGAAAAAAAAAAACAACTAAAGTACGCTCCGAGCCTAGAATTCCCTTTATACAGTAGCAGATATAAGTTAATGGAAGTGGTGTCATTGATTTCGTATTATTAATCTTGATTCCTTCAAGAGAAAAAACTAAGCACATCAATCTAGTAGAAAAATGTTACAATATCCAATCACAAACAGATACATTGTATTAAGATAATGGAGACAAACTGGAAAAGTAGATTTTAGGGTGGAAGGTGACCATTTTAAAATGCATTGCTAAGTTATAATCTTATATTATACTTTCATGTAAATTAGTTTTATCTGATTCGTCCACAGGTACTTGTGGACAGGAAACACCCCCCCCCCCCCGAATATACCCTTGGGTCAAAAAATATTTTTATGTCATTTTTTCATAAATTATTCTTCTAGTACACATTTACAATGTATTCCGTAAGAAAAATAAAAAAAAAAAATAACGCAGAATTAACGTTTTACTAAAAAATCATAAGAGTTTGAAAGCTTTCTAAGCGTGACCTTAACGAAGATCTCCGAATTTTTTTATGACATCCGAAATCAAAAAGACATTCAGTATAATAAAATAAATAGTACACGTTTTTGAGGGTAACAGTTGAAATTGACACCCCTCGGAAAACCATTGTCAACCTCCGCTGACGCGTCGATTGACAATGATTTTCCTTGGGGTGTCAATTTCAACTGTTACCCTCAAAAACGTGCACTATTTATATAATAAAGTTTTTTTCAAGTAGAAAAAATATTTTGTGAAACTACATGTAGATACATTTATCTCGATATATTGCTGCATTATGTGGAGTCATATATGTGTGTTTCATGATAACTGCGGATTTTCTAAAGAAACAAATAAATAATACTATATTATTTGCGTAAATGACGACTTGAACACAAATCATTCCAATAGACATGGATTATGTTGCTAACTTCCAGATTCGATTATCGTTCTTTCAGTTGCAAACAACCACGAGAGAGAGAGAGAGAGAGAGAGAGAGAGAGAGCGAGAGCGCGCTTTGAAAGTTGTTGCGCTACTTGTTAGTTGTCACCTTTAAGAGGGTGAAGTAACTCAGTTTATTTCCTTTTAGACCCCCTCCCACTCGATATGCAGACATACATGTATAAGCAATAAAAGTAAAATTCTTTAGGTATTTCTTTATACACATCTTAAATTGAACCAGTGTATATCTTATATAGATCGTTTTGTTTATTTTCATAAATTTCAAACTACAATGTATTAAATATTCTATGGGATTAAAGAACATTGTACATTGTGCACTTAAAAAAGAGAAAGGATTATTTTAGTCAACGCACTGGCAAAATAAGTGAGTATTTTACATATGTGTGGATTTGTTGTATAAGCATTGTATTAAGGTTCATAATCCCTCTGTCCACTCATAGAAAATGTTGCTTTATTTCATGTTTATGATTTTTCAAAAGAAATGTATATTTTATAAGTAAAATGCAAACAATTTGATCATATCTTGGGCAGCAGAATTGGACCAAAAAATTAACTTGACAAATTCCCATTCAGAGTTATCTCTCTTATCAGAGTAACAATGAAACTTAAAATGCTTTCTTTTATTATATTTACAAAAAAAAAAAAAAAAAAAAAAAAAAAAAAAAAAAAAAAATTAAAAAAAATAAATAAATAAATAAATAAAAAAGAAAGGTATCGTTAACATTATTCAAATATCTGATGATGAAGAACCACAGTGAAATGGACATCAATATGGAAGCTGGTAGTGTAGATTCATATTTGTTCAAATCATGACATGACCCCCGGGGGGTATGCTGGGACCACAACAGGGCATCAAAGTGTTATAAAGGAGTATATAGAAACATTGAACATACATTAACAAAATCATGGAAGATTGAAATCATAAGAATATTTAATGACCATAAATGATTAAAAAGGTTATTATGGATAATCAGAAAAACAATAATAACAGTCAATTCTTAACTGTAGTTGATAAAACAAGTATTAAGATTTTTCATGATTACAGAT